ATCTAAAAAATTACAATGGAAAGAAGAAACACATTGGATCTAGCGTCCAAATAGATAGATCCAATGTGTTTTTTTTCCAGTGTAATATGTTTTGATGTAGTCAGCTGAGTTGTTGTGCAAAATGTTTAAAGTTATTTGGTATAGAAAGTGGAACTTTATTTAGTTCCATTATCCTTATGCGATTCGGCCAAATTGACGGCTTGGCTCCTTCCTGCTTACCGTGGTCCAAGTCAACATTATCTCGCGGAAGTTTCCGCAGAATTTGCTTCGCAGAGATGAAAAAAATCTCGGAAGTTTAAGAAAATAAAAAATCTCGGAAGTTTCAAGAAAATAAAAAATCTCGGAAGTTTTAAGAAAATAAAAAATCTCAGAAGTTTTAAGAAAATAAAAAAAATGAAGTATGACAGGAAGTCTGTAACGTCGCAAAACGATAGGTACGTGGTCTGGGAGTTTCACCATCGATAAGCACTATTCTAGACATTATAATCTGTTGAAGAGGTGCCTACGTTCAGATGGAAAGGATGGTTCTTTTCAGGATGTATTTCACAGTGGCGTGGCGTGCTTCGATATATATCGATATTTTCCCATTTGAAGCTATGGTAAATAATCGATTATTGAGGTGCTCGTTGCGAACACCCTGATAATCGATCCTTTTCCTCGGGTTTAAATGGCAGATTGATCGATGTATCTCAAAGCACGCCACGCCACTGGTATTTCATGCGGAGAAAAGATGAACGTTTTCACCATACGCCCAGTTCGAATCCATCGATGAATTCGGCCCATTCAATCCGAATATACGAAGGTGGGTCGGAGCCCCCCCCCCCCCCCCCCGATTTGAATTTCGATTCCGGTGTCGGGAGCCACCTCTCGAGATGCGATCTCGCGCCGGATTCATTCCATCCACCCGCACTTTTCATCGCTCCGGGAACAATAACGGCGTAAGTCTACTTCCGACTGGGCTCCATCGTCCATAAAACTCTATACCCTCCAGGGTTTACTATGGAAATGGAGTTATGCCCTTTTGAGCGCAGAGCGAGGTTTTCTGAAGATTAATCAATGCTCCAGGCCGAGGCTGTGCCTTGTTGCCGGATTGACATGCGAGTTGGTGACGTTCTCTATGGTGGAGGAATTGATTCGAATTATCGCCGTGAAATCTGGCAACGTAAGGACCGCGACTGCGCCGGAGGAGCCCCTCCCGATCAAAGGGTCGCGACTGCGCGGATCATGGGTCGCAAGTGCAATCACGTGCATTCCATTGATGCCAGACTGAGCGATGATTGACGTTGATTTTTCTGGCTGAACACTTGAGCAGGGGCGAGGCCTAGATTGTTCGATCGCTTCTTCTCCGATAGGATATTGTACACTGGAAAAAAACACATTGGATCTAGAGTCCATACTCTTGAAAACATTGACAAGAAAAAATACTCTTGATTCAATCAGATTTAAGCTTAAATCAAAAAGATCCGCTCAAATTAAGAGGCTTGGTTCTTGATTTAAGCAAGAATCTGATTGAATCAAGAGTATTTTTTCTTGTCAATGTTTTCAAGAGTCTATACTCTAGATCCAATGTATTTTTTTCCAGTATAAAATCCAAGATAAATTCACTATACTGTCAAAAGAAGAACCGATTTTTTCTAAAATACTGCATAATTGTGAGGTAAATGCTAAAAATATCGTATAATATGCCCACAGTTTCCCGCAGGAAATTCCGGTTGAAAACTAGAGAAACACTCAGATTCTCAATTGAAATCAAAGAGCCGTTCATCAATGAATAGCGCAAGAACTTAGATATTTTATTATTCCCCACTTTATCCCGCAACACAACCGTATTACAGATCTGCAGCTCCCTTCGAGCTCGATCATTTTCTCCGGAAGTTGCTATGAAATGCCACTTCATCCGCATTCTTTGAATTTAGGCTACTGCGGACATCTCAGGAGAGCAACGCTGTGATCCATTCCAAAATGGGAAAATGGGCAATGTCGGCTTAAAAATTAATAATTAATTATTACAGAAGTATTTATGAGTTATCAATGAGCATAATAGGCAACATTGGAATTAGGTTAAGGTGTAACAGACACAAGCAAAGGGCCGTCAGTTAGTGTCTCATGCGGCTAACACCAGCCGAATTTCACTATATCTACTGGATACAACTATTCGAGCTCCACGGATGTCCGCGTTGCATACATCCGTAATTGAAGGCGTTTTGATTATCCAGACACTACCACTTCCCTCGCGGTGCCGCGCGCGGCGCGCGGGCTGTGCTGCGAGGATCACAATATGCTGAATATATTTGTCGTGGCCGGATTCATAAGAAATGAATCAATGAAGTATTTAAGGAAGCTGGCTTAAAAGTTTCTAGCATAAAATCCTACATGAGGCCTTGATAAAATTCAAGTAAATATTTCCTCTTAAGTTTACCTTCATTTAGGTATTCACGCTTTTTAAGCGAGTCTTGACACTCTGTTTGCGCGTTTAGGTATGCGCTTTTGGAAATTCGCGATTCACTGATTCACCGTTTCACTGATCTCAGCGTTACGTCACGACGTCCCAGCCCCCTCCCCCTCTCCCGTAATGCACCTGTGACGCAAGTTCAGATCCCCTTCCCTTTTAAAATATTACCAGTGGCGAGACGTGAATGATCGATTTTCGATATTTCCCCATTTGAAGCTGTGGTGAAGAATCGATTATAAAGGTATTCGTTACGAACATTGTGTTTATCGATCCATTCCCACAGGTTTAAACGGTAGATTAATCGATGTATCGCAAATGACGCCACGCCACCGAATATTACCATTACGTATATTATGAGCGGCCCTAAGGCAGAATAATCGACCCTATTCATCCAGGAATCCGACTGAACGTTGCCCTGCATATCAAATCACGGAGAAAAAAGTGTCTTGTATACAAAGTCCAGACTATTAAAAAATTTGACAAGAAATAATACTCTTTGATTCAATAATTTTTGCTTGAGTCAAAGGTATATCCACTTAAAATAAGAGTCTTAGCTCTTGATGCAAGCAAAAATCTCATTTATTCAAAAGTATTTTTTCATGTCAAAGTTTTTAAGAGTGTGGATGTTGCACTGTCGCAGGCAAATAGTGAAAGCAGGCATTTTGTCATATGCCTAAGCAGATAGTTAAATTTTGACGGTCTACAACATTTTGTGAATTAATGGTGAAGGGCTCACGAGTTTATACTACTTTTGGAAAAATAACTCATCAATCTTACGAACTCTTTCTGGCTGTTCCTCTTCGATCACTTCTCAGCTATTTAGATGTTGAAATTCTAAAAATCCTGCATTTTATGACATGCTGATAATTTCAAGATAAGAGTCTGTTCAGGAGCTAAAAATCGTTTAAAATACTTTTGTGTGATGCAAATTTTTACTGATAATTTTTTCTTGCAGGAGCAATAGATTATTTCACTAAAATTAGTAAAAGAATCGGAATTTCAATCCAAGCTAGAATATTTGACTATATGCCTAGGCATTTGACAAAATGCCTGATTTTAATATTTGCCTGCGACATGGACACTAGATCCAATATATTTTTTTTCCAGTGCCCGCATTAACTCAACGAAATCTGTTTCAAAGGAAAATCTCAAGGGAGATATCACGACTGAAACAGTGTATGCAAGTATTTGCTTTGACAAGTGACACGCTATTTCATATCAAGCGTGACTTCTTCTTTGATAGTCTATGTGATTGTCGCGGGGGTGCGGTAAAGGGTGGGGACTTGAACGCGGGATTATGCGATCGGTTTTGAGTCGAGAAATCCCCACACTTGAGAATAAGACATACGACGTGTAAAATTCGGATCCAATCGGCCGGATTCCGGTCAGTGGCGTGGCGTGAATTGCGATGTATCGATTGTTCTGCCATTTAAACCTAGTAAAGAATCGATTAATAAGGTGTTCGCTGCGAACACCTTGTTTATCGATCCTTTTCCATAGGTTTAAACGGAATAACAATCGATACATCGCAAAGCACGCCACGCCACTGATTCCGGTAGTACATCCGGATAATGAAACGCCCCGGGGAAACGATTGTCAGTCTCATAAGCTGCTCTATGCGCTTCTCTGATTACGTAACATGGAATTCGTGGGTCGAACTGTAATGTAATCTTGGTTTATTCTAGGGCTTATTTTAAAATTTATAGGCACCCAAAGCGTGAAATCAATACGCGGGCCTTATTTTTCGAAAATAAACCAAAGTTGTATTCACGTAATGAGGACTTATGCTTCCTCGAGGAAAAAACTTCGGTTTGTAGGCAACACCAACATTTTTTTGTCCAAGTAACTGATAATTACAGCATAAAGAACTAAACTATGGGGTTGGGGGCACTAACTAGAATGGGGGTTTTAGAAGAAATGGACGTATTTCTATCAAACGGACCTAAGCGCCATAGGGTGAGGAAGGTAGAGGGGGGCTTTGACTGGCGGCGGAATCGGGCGTCCGGCTTATTCCGTCCTATACTCGCAATGCTTTTCCGTGGCGCTTAGGTCCGTTTGACTTGACAGAACGCGCTATACGGGATTCTAAATTCCTCAAATGGAACTCAAATTGGCGCTTAGTTCCGTTTGATAGAAATACGTCCAAATGAGGGTATGCTAACACCCTGAAGGGCTTTGGGGGGATAGGGGACTTTGGCGGATAGGTGTATATGAACTAAATTTTACCTGAACTAAAAATCCTTTTGGACGTATTAATGCTGAAAGGAACTATGCACATAGGGTTTACGAAACAAACTTCGCATGTTCCGTAGTTTAGTCTACGTTAGGTCGAACCAAAATTTCATCTGTGTAACCGAAGTTCAATCCTTTTGGAACCTAAGTTTTTTCTCGACGGAAACCTCATCGAATCATACATCCGAGATGTTATTCCTCCATTTAAATTTTCCCAAATTTTCTCTATATCCTTGTGTATAGTCTGTGACCTTAAATCAGATGTTCTAGTCACTTAATTCCGCATTTTCAATACTTCATTCCCTTTTGTTTACAGATCAAATGGCCTCATTTTACGACTCCAATAAACGTGATAGGTGGAAATGGCGCAACGAAACCGAGAGCTTTGGATGACTCATTCGTCGGAGTAAGTAAATCCTGTCAAATTTCGAAGGTCCTTTGTAGCTCTTATCCACTCGCCTCAGTATTTCGTCTCAATAAACTTAACCCTCATAAATTTTAGACCACGTCAAGTCATATTTTATCCGACAAACTCAATATTCTAATACTGAACGTCAAATGTTTTCCGCATCTTCCTAAGTATAAATATGGTAGTAAGTGTGCTTGCTGAAATGATGAAATTTCAACACTGGAAAGAAAATTCGCTTGGATCTAGAGTCCAGGCTCTTAAAAACATTGAAAAAAAAACTCTTGATTCAATTGGGCTTTTTGCTTGAATTAAAAGGAATTCCGCCTATATCTAGAGGCTTGGCTCTTCGATTCAAGGAAAAATCGGATTGAATCAAGAGTATTTTTTCTTGTTTATTAAGAGTCTGGACTCGAGATCCAAGCGACTATTTTTTCCAGTGAATGTAATACCAATAGCCTAGTGCAAAAGGGTTGTAACCAGCATCGTTGGAAAAATTGAGTCATTCGTACCAGCAATATGTTACGGGCTTCTTACGTATGAAAAAAAAAAAAAAAAAAAAAAAAAAAAAAAAAAAAAAAAAAAAAAAAAAAAAAAANAAAAAAAAAAAAAAAAAAAAAAAAAAATTGGCAGTGATATCTAATGCCACAATTCTTCCATTCTGAAAAAGGTAGGATAGTATAGAATAGCCACTCAATCTTAATAGAGTGGAACAGTGAATAAAAGAGACAAGGTGTCATCTTTTACTCTGATTTTTTCAGCTCAGCGCTGCACAGCTACATATTATTACATGAAGGAAGACGTATGGGTATTTTTAGGGAAAAAGAAGTAGGAAAGGAAAAAGTTGAACTTTTACCGCTTGGATCGCTCTTTATTATTCCCTCTCACTCCAATTTTACTCGGCATCGTACTTCGTTACTACGTCGTAAGAAAGGAATTCACGCTGGTGAATAATACCCCTAACGGCCCGCATCAAAGTGGCGAGGCGTGAACGATCGAATATATCGATATTTCCCCCATTTGGAGCTATGGTAATTAATCGATTATCTGGGTGTTCGTTGCGAACACCTTGCGTATCGATCCATTTCCATAGGTTTTAATTGGAGACGAATCGATATATCGCAAAGCACGCCGCGCCACCGCCGCATCCCCTTAATTACTACGGGTGCTTCTCTGAGTCCGCCCCGAAGCTCTCTCGTAAAAACGAAAACAAAAAAGGACACCCACGCTTTTCCCATCAACTGAGGACGGATTCCCGTTCCCTGAATTATCGATAATGTTTGGTTGGTGTTCCCGTAAGTACCTTTAATTAAAGGGCACGAGCTAGATTCAAATAGGCTCCGGCAGCTACATGAATAGTGCTCATGAATTTATTCCACTGAATGGATACGCAGCACTGTAACTAGTCTGCTCTGCTAAGGAAGAACGCCGTATGGGCCTTCAGGCGTTGCCAAATTTCCTTTGATAAAACGAGAATTCCCTGGTAAACTTATGAATATTTTTCTTTCAATATTTCAGAGAATTTTGTACACAATTTAATCTAAAATATCTGAAAATTTCAAGGAAAAATATACATAAATGTTGTCAGAAATACATGTTTTGTCCAAGAAAATTTGGCAACTCTCGAATGTTCATACGGCGTTCTTCCTTAGCACGGCAGTAGTGCTGTCGCTCGTAATCCTCAGTCCACGATGAAGGAGTCGGGGGTTCTACGCTGGACAATGTAAAACATAGCCTTGTTCATGTACCTTTTCCTCGGGAACCACTAGAGATATCTGAATAATTTTCTTTGTTTCTTACTTCGAAGCACAACGCAGTTACTCCACAAACGAACAGCAAGAAAAAAAAAAGAACACTAAATTATGGTTAGTGCGAGAAGGGATCCGCGCGATAATTTCATGCATGGTTGACTCTAGGGTTTTCTTGTTTTTCCATCGTTCTCCGTATTAATTTCCACAGAAAGTGTACAAAATTAACACGACTAGTGAGTTGGTTTCTGTTCCATTTCCTATATCGACTTGAATACTACACAAGAAGCCAGTTATTTTTCTCAAAGCAAACGCAACCATTTTCAAATTTTGCAAACATTTATTTTAGATCTATTAATTTTATTGTAATTTGACTTTGTTTACTTATTTTATATTGTTTTAAAACTGCAGTTTTGGAGAATTTGTTTTCCTAAATGTTAAAAGCTATAATTTATTGTATACCTAATCAACTTTTAAATTAACCCTCGTTTACTCGTGTAAAAAAAAACAGGAAATTCTTACATTAGCTGCATAGTGAAAAGTTAAAAATAACCCTGTTATAAAATGAATCAACATTAAGCCCTAATAAAGATCCAAAATTTCAGAAGTAGGAAATATTAGAGGTTGAGCTCAGATCTACAATAAAACTATTCACTTAATAGCATCACTAGGATCCTGAGCAAAAGGCACAGATGCATATCCAGTGGCGTGGCGTGCTTTGCGGTACATCGATTGTTATGCCATTTACACCTATGGAAAAGAACCGATAAACAGGCTGTTCGCAGCGAGCACCATAATAATCGATTCTTTACGATGGGTTTAAATGGCATAAAAATCGATGTATCGCAATTCACGCCACGCCACTGTGCATATCGGTGGCTAAAGTGTGACTTCACGTTTGACTGGAAGTCTAAACGTGACGTCAACGTCACGTAACGTGACGTGGACGTCAACGTCGCTAACGGAGATGCGTAGTCTCGCGTTTTAGCCATCAGAGGAAAAGACCTTTAATTTTGTGAAGCTCAGTTTAAATAAAATGTTACCTTGAAAGAAAAAATGAAAAAAAAAAAAAAAAACCGCACATATCTGTAATTTTCACTTCACTTCAAATTTTTTTTCTTTTTCTTTTTTTTTGTCATCGATTGTTGATTTTAAATCAAACCGTCAGCACCAGTTCGACGTATCTCTACCAAACGGTACTATGTGCATTATGACGTGAGCCCTGTTATACATATATTCTTATGGGCCTCAGGGCTCATGTCTTAATGCACATAGTTCCGTTTGGCAGAAATACGTCCAGTTATGCCGAACATTTTAAATGGACCGAGTTTAACAGAAAGGAACCAAGCCACATCAGCTATTGTCAAATTTAAGTGGGCAATTACATTTTTTACGAGAGAACTTTTGTGCGGTTCCCTTTAAAATTTGTAGGGAATTTGCTACAAACTATGGAGAATTTTCACTGAACTTTGCACAAAAATCCGCACAACCGTTTTCATGTAAAAAATTAAATTGCTCAATTAAATTTGGCAATAGCTGATGTGGCTTGGTTTCTTTCTGTTTAACGCGGTCCAAATAGGACTAGTTTCTCGACTCAAAACTCTCCGACTCTCTCAGGAACCCTTCCCGGAGACTCTCCACAGTTTAAATCTCATTTAGTGTGAATCGGCGCCCAGACTGATTAACAAGTTTGCCGAGACTAAAAATACTCGACTTTCCGATAGATTAGAGCCGCAGATCACACAACATCGAATCAATCATCGTATCGGAGCGTAGACACCCGACGATCGGGGGTGGAGCACCACTTAAAGTTTCAGCCGAGCCTCATCACTTTCGAATGGGTTCGGTGTTAACGCCGCACGGTGGATCGAGCCAATGGGGGAGGTCGGACAAAATTTGGAAACTTTAAACGCTTATAACTCCGTTTATACAAAATTTGAGGTTCTAAAAGTGGTTTCATTGGTTTTCTCGTAAAATCTTCTTCTAGAGGCGCTCCTTGAATTTTAAAATGTGACGAAATGAACGTAACAATTAGCAGTTTTAGTAAAAAATTTCATGTCCGACCACTCTAATTGACTCGATCCACTGTGCGCCGATAGCCTTGAGGCCGAATCGGCCCTTCCAAAGCACGGACCTGTAGATTGATTTAAAGGAGGTTTCGTGGTTGCTCCACTAATGGCTACTTTCTATCATGAAAACGGGTCCACATCGACGTTAAACCGTGTATTTTGAGAATGTTTGTGATGTCAATCATACGGAACATCCCATTAATGAGTAGAACCTCGTTATTAGTTTTGAGCGTCAAAGTCGTTATCTTAATTATATATTTATTGAAGGGCAGTAGTCGAATCAAGCATCATGCCACGCAATTTTATCTTTATCAAGGATTTTTGGCATTTGTATGGGAATTTAATATCAGGTACTTACTAACTCATACAATTCGGTTTGTTTAAAAGTCATTCAGTAGAATGATGAGCGTTTCTTAACGTTATATCAAGAAGAACAATCTCCATTGTGAGATTTTGAAACGGGCCAGGACCCTGTGTAAAATTATTGTCTTCTTATGAGCTTCAGGACCTACGTTACCGTTAAGAGCGTCCCCTTTATTAAAATAAATACATGAAATTATTCAACTTAAGATTAAAGTACGGACAAATTCATCGAACACGACCCGTCTTCACTGATCCAAACGTAATTCCTATCATACTTGCATTACTTCTTCAGTTATAGATTGGTTACCCAGGAGTGCCTTCAAATGGGCAGTGATACAATTTCATGCACTTCCACTCCGTTCTGCCTACTTTATGTTTTACAGGCAATCTAGCGAAAGAGTCCATTACGTTGTCCACCTTGGATTATTAATAAATTGAACGGATTCGAGCTTTTTTTCGATTATTCATCGTAACTAATTGTTTTAGAAAATACAACATTAATTCATCAATAATAATATTATGTTCCAGGAGCCCTTGATAAATGTTGTGCCACTGCGGAGCCATGACTTTACTGGACTCGGATTCAATATTTGCGGAAATATGCGGGATGGTATTTTCGTCAAAGATGTTCTACACCGAGGACCGGCATCTGAATCAGGGAAAATAGTCTCTGGTAATTGAATTTCTATTTTTATTTTATTCTTATAGTCTACAGAACGACAGAAGAGTCGTTTTGCATCGTAAAGCGTGCAAAAAGACATCCTCATTAAAGCTTTACTTGTATTTACCAGGGAAATTGTTTTGATTGATGCATACATTTCAATAATATTCATTAACCATAATTATTTATCTTCGAGCATTCCCTGCAATTGGCGTTGATTTGCAGCGATTCAAAAATGTACAGCATAATGCCGTAAAACCGCCTTTGAAACAAGGTGACTGCACCGCAATCGGTATGATTATTTTCTTTAAGAAACTAGCTTATCATCGTAGAGGTTTTACATTTTTCTTAAAAATCCAGAGTTGTGATTGGGATCAAATTCAAAATTTTCTTATTGCAGTGCTGCCATTTTTACAATATTACAGTAATCTGAAAGACTCGTCCTCGTTGAATGAAATAAACGAGTGGTATCCCCTGAGCTTTTAGTGAACTATTTGTGTAATTAAGCTATAAGTGATCTCGCGGGTAAAACTCTTATTTCAAAATAAAGAATGCAGAAATGACCTGCAGAACTCAATTTTGAGCATTGATTTGTTAATTACTTCCAGTTTCAATCAGACCCAACATATACCTAAAGAAGCCATTGATTTGTTTTTCTTTTCTTTTTTTTCTTTAAATCACAAGAACGGCTCTACTATTCATATTGCTCCACCGGATGACTCAGTTATGAAAACTATTTGATTCGATATGGATGGCTACGGAACAGTACCACATATCTGCAAACTGACGATTTTACAGGACAAAGAAAAAACTTCTCAATTTTTGCAATTTTAAGGTTTAATTTGCAATATTTTTTACTGTACAGCATCATTACAGCACTTTGATGCGAAATTGGGAAAAAAGCGACAAACATCAATTTGCATGTTTCATCCTGTACCTAGAATGCGGGAAAGGCGCTAACTAATCGCGTCGCTAAAATTGTCAGTCAGGCGGTATTGTTCCTTAGCCATCGATGTTCAATTTAAATCAATGATTTTTTCAGCTCACTGGAAAAAAAAGTCGCTTGGACCTACAGTCCAGACTCTTAATAACGTCGACAAGAAAAAATACTCTTGATTCAATACGATTTTTCCTTGAATCGAAGAGCCGAGCCTCTTGATTTGTAGGCGGATTTCCTTTTGATTCAAGTGAAAAGTCCGATTGAATCAAGAGTATTTTTTCTTGTCAATGTTTTTAATAGTCTGCACTCTAGATCCAAGCGACTTTTTTCTTTCCAGTGTACTGTTTCCATAAGATTGTTAGCATGTAATCTCTCCTGAGCTATTATTGAGTTGTAAAACATACTTTTTTCGTTTCTTTGGAACAGGTGATCGAATCACCAGTGTTCGAATCAGTTTCAAACATATGGTGTTCGAGGACGCATTGACGATTTTAAGCTACGCATCTCCGTACGAAGTGCAGCTCGAAGTTGAGAATGGCTCCTCATCCGGCCCCTCGACTCTTTTGAGAAACAAGAAGCCCATCAGTCCCGCCGAGAGGATCTGCCACCCTTTCTATCGAAGCCAGTCGATTTCTGATCTCTCACAGGTGTGTTTCAAAAGTATTCAACCTCAATTTCATCTTCAGCTCATTGTTACGAAGTCTTTGAGAGGTCTGAATTATGAGTGTAAATTTGATCGGTAGGTATTCGCTGAAAAAGACCACAAGGAAGCAGAAGCTAGCTGTGCTTGAGTTATTTGAAAATATTTTCATTGAAATGTGTACTTTTAAAAGACGGGGGAAAAATTCTGTCACTTGAGATCAAAATGGATAAATGAAAAAACAAATACTTATCTTCGATAGTTACGTCTCTTTTTAGTCTCTCCCCCCCCCCCATTTTATTTTATTTTATAAATTTTTTTTTTCCAAAGAAAAATGAACTCAAACGAGGTTTCTTGAAATTTTTTGCAGACTTTCTGCACCTTCTAAAATTTATTCACAGAAAATTTCTGCAAGATATTTTATAAGTTTTTTTAAAACAAAAATTAATAATAAGAGGAATTTTTGAAACGTCGCAATAGAGATGCACAATTTTAACTCATGTCATGAATTTACGAAATAAAATTTAATTTTTTTATTTAAGATTATTAGTTAGATAAATTAAAATTAATATTAATTTTGAAACTCTTCTGCTAAATTATCTAACTTTCTGATAGGTAACAAAAAAAGAAAAACATTTTTTAGCGAGAGATATTTAAGGGCACTTAGCCTATCACGTCGGAGAATTTAAATCGTCAAATAAACTGCTTGATATATAACGGCATATCAACGGCAAAAAGCTCTCTTCTATGTGTATGATAATGACTTGACATCGGTCGACTTATTCTTTAAAATATCAAGAGAGGTTTTCCGTTAAAAACCCACTAAGTCAATTTTTTTTCCCCAGTTTAACAAAAACAGCTGGCCTACAAAACGTGTCTCCTTTTAATTATGCACCTATTTCTGTGATGAATTTTACATTTTCAAATATACCTAGGTCTGTTTTATTATACTAACGAACTTTTTGTTTTCTTGTTATAGATCGGCAAAACTGGCACGCGCTTGATCAAATGTGAACAACCTGCGAGCCTAACAGACATGACGACCGTCGGAGTATCCCGGCAATCCGTTTTCGAAATCACACCCAACAAAAGCTCCGAAAAAGCCCACAAATTCGGGGTGCGCGTCCTGCCCGACCTGCGGCTGAACCAAGACGTCAAATCCCCCAACTACATCGAGTCCGAGAAACAGAACGCCTGCAACACGATGCTCGAGAACTCGACGGCCAACATCATCGCCAACACGAACGCAATCAACCACGCAGCCAGCAAAGCGGAGAGCTTCGACGAGGTGGACCTGGGGTCGAAACAGTCGAACGGCGGAAACTCGCATACCATCGAGATGTCGACCGGAAGAAACACGCCCACCTCCCATTTCAAGGAACACAACGTCAAAGCTATCCTCGTCAAGGGACTCCAGAATTTGAAGGACAGGATCAACTTACCGCACATCCACAAGAACAGCAACGGCAAAGTGGTGAATCCGCCTTCCGACATGGAGAAAGACGCCAAAGCTGCGGATAAAGTGATAGAGAACCCCCACGCTGAGGGCAGAATCAAGTTGGAAACGGTCCCAATGAAGAACGAAGAGCTTCAGCAAGTTGTAGTGTCAACCGCGGATGTTGAAGTCAAAGCTAATGGTCCCAGTAAACTCATGGAGGAGGTTGAAAAAGCTGTGTCCAGCATGCAGAAGTCTGCCGAGCCAACCGTCGTCACTGTCGGTAGGAAAGACAGCGGCTGCAGTGCGGACTCGACCGACGACACCTCCGGTCAGAAAAAATCAAAGAGGAAGGCACCGATGCCGCCGCAGGAATCAAAAAGCGACGATGCTAAAGAAGGAGAGGACGTCGAGCCCGCAGTCAAGTCAGCTGCCGACGGGCTCGAAGCGGAGGTCATGAACCTCGTATACTTCGGTAACAATAAGTTCATCGCCGATGAACACCCGAGCCTCGTCGAGTCCATCGACAGCGACTCGGAAGTGCAGAGCAGCACGACGATCGAGCTCAACTCATCTCATATCACCGTCCACCACGTACCTGAAGACACGAACCGGAAAGCCGCCTCCCTCGGCGACCTGTCCAAGATCGCCGACGACGAGCCGTCCGCCGTCCTGGAGCGGGCGATGTCCTTGGACATGGCCGACGGAACCCCCAGGGGCAGCAAGAAGCGGAAAGCCCCGCTCCCGCCGCAAGAGGACTTCGTGCTCGACGACGCGCCCTTCTGCAAGGAGCCCAGGTTGGATCTAGTCGGGCTGTCGAAACTCAAGAAGTCCTCCTGCTTCGGGACCATGGAGGAGGCGCTGAGCCAGTCGCAGGACTTCGACCGGAGCCTCAGCGACTCGGACGAAGGAGTCAGCGAGAAGGAGGACTTCGAGCCGAGCATGATGTCGAACAAGCCCGATCTCATCTGTTCGACGCCGATGAAACCGGACCTCCACGAGCGGCCCAAGACGCCCCCGGCCCCCAAGCACAACGTGAGCTCCGTCAACGTGGACGGCTGCAACTGGGAGATGAGCTCTTCCGAGGCCTTCGTGACGGCCATGAACGACACGGACGACACCCCGCCCGAACTACCCACGTCCCCGGTTCCGACGCTCCCGAGCTACGTCACCGAGATACAAGTGATGAACGCCAACGAGAGCAACGACATCACGACCGACGAGCTGACGATGGTGCATCAAGATACCGACTCGCATAATCACAATCACAATCATAACCACACCTCGGAGGGGAGTCAGTCGAACGACTCCAGCGACGAGGCCCGACACCCGAACAACGACATTCCGAGCCCGGTCGAGAGCAATTCGAGCATCGACACGGCCATCTACGCCCCGCAAAGGAATCACAAGACCAACAACGATATCAGTCCGTTCTTGAACAAGGACTCCCAGAAGGATATCGGCTCCTACCAGTTCAATTTCAAGAGCGAGAACATGTCCGACGAGGAGATCCTGGCTTTGAAAACGTCCGCGTTAACCAATAACATCACTCCACCGAAACCCAAGATGACGAACGGGGAGACCCCTAGCAACGGCGCTATCAAGCAATCGAAATTAACACCCCCTAGTAAAATTCAAAAGCCGAACGTGAGTGTGACTCCGATCAAGGCCTCGGGTTCTAGGATACCAATTCGTGCCACCCCTCCGGAGCCTTCAGCGAGGTACGGAGCCGACAAGAACCGCAAAAGGAGTCCGGAACCGAACAAGTTCGTCAGTTTTTCCACTTTCAACGTCTCCCCCTCCCCGCGCTCCCTCACCAACGACCACAAGTTCCAGGACAGGAACTCGACCAACAACGAAAATATCACGCAAATTATTCTGGATCAAAAATGAGCCGCACGTGACAAGTCCGCTGTTTAAATGTAAATAGTAAACTTATGATTGTATAAAGATTTTAATTTCTTTTCCACCTTGTCCAATCCGTCCATATCGTCGAAAATCAGGAATTCTTAAGGTGTGTGCGAATTCAGCATTTACCAAGAACCGGTGCCTTTCAAGAAGTTAAGGTGGATCCATAGTGGGAGTATGCAAACATCGGAATATTAAACAAATTTTTCTAACATACCTGCTTACTTGTTTTATTTTAAAGTGTTGAAGAAAATGAACCCGTTGCAGCTAAAAGACTATTCCAGTTGTTTTTTCCGAAAAATTTCAAGCACGAAACCCTGGATTGAAGCTGAATGTGAATGCGAAAAGTGACCGTTCGGTTTGACCAATTTAATGCAATATAATGTGTCCACATGCCTGCATTCAGTTTTATTTCAGAGTTATTCATAAAATTGATTTTTTTTAAAGAAACAGGTGGGTCTTTAAACGTAATTGTTCCTTTTTTTGTCGAAACTGTAAAAAGAAACTAGTATTTTAGCAAAATTGTTCCAAATACCTCGGTGTTTGTTTACTTCCAATGTAGTTTCATCTTAAACTATGCTGGGGATTGAGTGATTTTGACAATGATTACTGCTCAGGTTGATTTTTCAGGACGAATCATTCCTTCCGTTTTTTAAGCTTCCTCGTGGTTCTAAACAAGGCTTGCTTAAATTTAGCACTCAAGTTTTTAAGTTTTGTGCATTGTAATCTAGAATATAGTGCTAGTTTTAAGAGAATGTAAATATCGAACTGTTTTCAAGTCCCTTACATTACCGTCCGTAAATTGTTGAATTGTTTTGTTTGTTTTTACTGAATGAATTTATACATTTTTTATTTTTTAATTTTCTTTGTCATATACTTATTAGATGTTAATTTTTTTTGCATTCTTTCACTTTACAATGTTGATCCATTGTATGAAAACTCAAATATTTGTTCTGAAAATATTTTGCTGTATTTGCTCATCGAACAGTCATGTTTTAAGTATCCCAGAGGTTATTATTATCATACTTATTAGCTTATATTTTTACTCGAATTTTTAGTAAATATTTTAATGGATACTTCAAGAAGGTACCTATTCCTTGAAGGAAACTTTCATAGATTAAAAAACTATACTTTTGCATGCACAGGGACGATCAATCAATCAGGGAGGATTTATCGGCCTCACAATTTTAAACTTTTGAGTACAATTCAATGTGTCTTCATAGGCTGCCGTAAAAGCCCTCAGAAATCATGAATAATTAGCCTTAAAACATAGGCAACCTTTCAAGCGTGATCTAAGGAGCTACATTTTTTAACTTTTTTCCTGAGATAAATTTTATATTTATGGATGATCATGGCGTCAAAAATTATTTTGAAGGAATTGCTACATGAAATTGGATCGAACTGAATTTAGAGAAAAAAGACTTACAAGAAAAATAACTGTCATCAGAAAACTATGATAAGAACACATATTTAATGGAAAAATTTATTTCAATATTTCAAATGAGTAATTGGTAAAATAATCCTAGAAAATTGGCGCAACAAGTCGAAAGAAGAGAAAAATGTTTGCTGGGAGCTTCACTGAGAGAGGCAATCGATGAGAAGGTTCTTTTTGAAAATGAAAATCACTAATTTTTGTAAAATCCAATATAATAATGCAATTCTATCCTCGATCACCAATCATGGACCCCATGAAAAAGCATTGAGGACTACCAACTATCTCTTCATAAAATGTATTCTTTTCTTCAAGATTTGTGATTTTTTTTGATTATTCAGTCACATGTTCACATCTTTCCTTTTTAACAATAATTTTTCTACATTAGTTTTTAACCGACAATTAGCTCTTAGTGTTAATAAACATAATATTGAAGATTAGTTGCCATTGGCAGCCACTCTTCAACCCGTGAAAATCAGAAACGTGCCTTTGTATCAAACTGAATATTGACTCGTTTAATTTAGAGGATAAAATCCTGATTTACGTTTTGGTTCACTCTAAGGAACAAAGCTGTGCAAAATTTGAATGCGTACCCCACGCTTAGGTTTCCCTCTTCTCCATAGCGATGATTGCATTTAATTGTTTAACTTGTTCGAAGCAAACAAGTACTCTTAGTTAAGAGGGTAAGAGGCAATACTACTGTCTTTAAGAGCGATGTTTTTCTTTCCTCAAAGTACCACCCCCCCCCCCCCAAAAAAAAAAATTCCGAATGTAATTTGATGAAAGTCAAAGCATATTGGTACACCGCCTAGCATGAAATTGCATTATTTTAAATCCGTTATATCAATCATTCGTAATCATTCATATCGTTCATATCGTTCGTTATCATTCAATCATTTATTCTGAATGCTTTACCTACGTATATTGGTTTAATTGAAAGACCAATATCTTTTGCTCAAGTGCTTTCAAATTTGCCTTGATTTATTTGTAATGTGCCAAGTATTAATAAGAATTTGTGTGAGCTTAAAATTCAAATTCTAAAATTGTTTCAAGATTTGCATTTCCCTTTTAAAAGATAAGGCAAAAGTGCCTATTTTTGTTCATGCAACTCAACTTGAATCGTCAATATGTTTATCTCTATAACCATTAGACACTTAAAATAATATTTTATAATGTAATCAATTAAAGAATTTTTCAGTATTTTCAGCGTCTAGAAAATAAACGATGCATTTTATTTTTCGAAAACTTGCTTTAATTTTATAATTTTTTGGAACACACAAAAAAAGTACAACTCTCTCCAATCAGTATGGATGGTGATATTTTTGAACTCTCTGTTCTAAGGTTCCCTAAAAATATCGACTCACTTACATTATATGGTCATTGAAAATAAAAATAAAAAAAATTGGTTTAATTTTTAAGTAGTTTAAGTATGGATATAAGCCATGCATTATTATTTCAATTACTTCTGATTTATCGAAATGAATCATCTAGGAAATATAGCCATCTTAAAGCTGTGTTAAATAGTAATGTTTGTACATAGTTAATCTCTCTATTAATTTGTTCGTTTGTATTAACATTTTATATCAGGTAACAGTGAACTGTTCATCTCTGAATTATTTATTTTATTATTTTTTTATATAAAGTCTAGTAGAATTTACATTATTTTGTTTCAAATACATAATGTGACATTTTTTTCTAAAAAAAAGTAGTTTCTTTTTACTTTGTTTACGACCAACCACTTCCATCCACAGAATTTGATGTTTCGATTATTGAATGTTCCCTTGTTATTTAAATGACAATCTCTTTTACTTTTGCATCCGTTCAAAAGAATAAAATATGTTTATGTTTCCGAGATTCAGAAATAAAATTGGACGAATCTTGACTCTCATTCTGTCCCTTGTGCGAATGAATGGCTGGTGTTTTTCTTCAAAAATCGTCAGGATTTCAAAGCCAATTTGAGATTCTGTGGATTTTCACCGAATTCAATGTAAATTCAATTGTTGACCAGTTTCAGTGAGAAAAGTCAGCTGGATCTAAACTTTTTTGGTTCTGTCTGAGATAAAATAATGATCTCTAATTTTGACCTGAACTTATCGCGCATTTAACCTGAACATTTATCAAAATTTAGAATTCTTAATGCCACCAAAAGAAAATTAGTTTGAAAGGCCAAGTATGCCAACGGTTAAGTCTTAATTCCTTGTTCACGAAGAATCAATTTATCACGAACGTAAATGCTCGCAACGCTCTGTGTCATGGATCATGGAACTAAATGTCTCCTTTAAGTGAAATTTTCCAAAGCTTTGGTACAATAATGTTACATATAAAATTAATGCATCATCGTAAACAGCTTCAACCCTGAATACATGGTATCAATGATTTTGAAAGAAACAAAAAAAAAAACAAAAAAAACCAAGAACCAACTTACAATGTTTCGTTATAATAATTTTATGAAGTAACGTCCATTCAAACCAGGCTTCAAAAGATCAATCTCGTCTTCCCAAAAGCACATAGTGCAACGAAGTAAAATTGCTATATCTTGCAATGTTTTTTTTTACCATGAACTTGCACGATTTTTGATCATTTGGTCAATACTTAAATGCCAATTTTAAACAATCAACAAAAAGATCCTCATAATGTGGCAGAAAGATAGGCAATATGCAATGCAATGAATAATTGCAACTTTTCAATTTTCTTGCAATGAACAATTATTAGAAGTGTTCTTCGATCTGTAGATAGGTAATATACTCAACACTCTGATGAAATACCTAGATTTTACTATGTAATTGCAATTCATTGAGATCTGCACTACTTGGGTTGGAGCGCCATCATCTTCGGTGTACTCTGCCGTGCTAAGGAAGCACGTCGTAAGAGCATTCGAGAGTTGCCAAATTTCCTCCAGTACAATTTGAATTTTTCTGTAAAGTTATGAATATTTTCCCTCGAAATTTTCAGATACCATAGATTAAATTGTGATTGAAATCCTGCAAAAAATTGGTGTAAAAATATCCACAAGTTTTCAAGGAATTTCGTATTTTATCGAAGGAAATTTGGTAACACCTGAAGGCTCATACGGCGTTTTTCCTCAGCACGAATAAGTAGTAGTACTTTTCCTTAGTTAGTACTCCTCAGGGTATATATATCGTGGGGAAATGAAGGCGAGCAGGATTTCCTAAGCTGGATAAGGAGCTTGAAGATCGCCTTCAACTCCGTAAAATACCACACTTTATACTCACTAGCTAGTACCACGGCCACATGCGACGCAGCGCCGTTACGCACTGCGTTAAGCTATAGCTATAACAAGAACAAGAATGAACTGGCAATCAGTGGGTGTATTACAGTCTCTGTTGAATCAGTTGGCCAACTTTGAGACCCAAGTTTCGCAAGCTTGATCCTCATTGAGTTCAACCCCGCTGTGATGAACACGACAAATCTGTTGATCTCTGAAGATTGGATTGGACTACATTTTGCAGTTTGGAACTATACATTCTGGCCCGGTTTAAAAACAACGTATGTGCCATTGGTTTCCCTATGCACATAAGTGTTTTTTCAAATGAGCCAGGATCTATAGTTCCAAGATGCAAAATGCAGTCCAATTTACCAACCAATCCGCTATACATCGTGAGCACGCTGTACAATGACCTCATGCGGCACACCATCAACTTTGAGCGAGAAGCTGAAGCTGCGATAACTTTATTCTTGGATATATTTTCAATGGTGAAATGAACATGGCATGTGACTTCCATGTCAGGTCCGCACTTTAAAGTTGGGAAATTTAATTGGACTCTTAACACTCGATCGAAGTGAGTTCTAAATGTTTGAAGCAGAGGACCTAACCAATTTGTTTCAATTTTTCTGTTTTCCTGTTCGTTAACATTTAGATGTAAATTGTTAATTTTACTTGTTTCACCTGTCACGAAAGTTTCACAAAAATCGATCAAGCATATACCTACCGTAGGCATAGTAGGACCCTCAACAGTCACAGTGGTGAACGATATGCCAATCGATTCGCATACGCTGGTGCGCCTTCAAATTCGTCTGATACTGTGAAACACTTCGGTGGCGGAGTAGTTGCTCGGAGCGCCTTTGACAGTATCGCATCAACTTGACTGCAGAAGATCACGACTGTCGCTGAAAGTACGCTCTGGCGCGTGCGCAGTCATTTCATTCCTCCATTTACGACATTGCAAGTTTTTCACTGCCTATTTATTGGGAGTAAACCAACAAGAACACTTCGAAATCTGCAAGGATTTCTTCGCGGTATAAGATGAGAAATACTATTTAAATGATTCGTTCAAGTCTGTTTAACGCTTTCGTTAATAAGGGAAGAAGAACTAAGAAGTATGAATAGGAACTTTCGAATGAACAAAAACTCATCAAAAATTATAGCCCCTGAGTTGAAAAAGCGCCCAAACAAACCCTCCGACTATAAGTGTTATTAGCTTTTGCGTCTGATGTAAAGCTTATGAACTTTAATTATATTTCTCCGAATAATCAAATAGTTAAATGAAAAACGAAGGTGGTAGTAGTAGTAGTGGAAGTAGTGAGTAGTAATGATAAAAAAATAAATACACGAATAAATGTACAGTTTTTCCACATGAAAGTTGAAGTACGAGCGGATATCGAGGTCTAAATGAAATTGACTTCATTTTGCAGTTCGAAACTAAAATTCTGGCTCATTCGTAATAACTTCACGTACATATGAAAAATAATGGCGTTAATGTTGTTTCTAAACCGAGCCGTAAATTGTAGTTCCTGATCATTGCATAATGTAGGAACGGAAAAAGAATCTGGATTGCAAAGTTGGATGATTTTAAAGACACCAAAATATCATTTTAGGCCACTTCCGTCATATTTGATTGTCGAATTTTGAAAATTTAGGTTGAAATTCAAGTTTGCCGTGAAAAAGTATCCACTGTTAGTACTGGCACCAGGTTCACAAAAATCCATCGAGCAGGAGCAGCATATCGTAGGATCAGTAGAAATGATACCGATCAACCAATCGATTCGCCTACGATGGTGCGCCTTCAAATTCGTCTGATACTGTGCAACACTTCGGTGGCGGAATAGTTGCTCAGAGCGCCTTCGCAGTATCGCCTCGACGTGACAGGCGTTCTCATCACCGAGCACCGACGCGGTGGGGTAAAAATGCTCTTACGTCCAGGGCCGGATTAAGGGGGTGTCCACGTGGGCCGCGGCCTATGGCGGCAAATCTATAGGGGGCGGCAAATTTTGCAATTTTTTTAAATGTAGGTATCAAAAAAATCGGATTTAGAAAAAAAAAAATTACAGACGAGAAAAGGCGACAAAATCTCTAATTTTCTGAGAGTATAGTAATTTCTACTTTTGTCGTCTTTTAGTGATACAAGAGGCAGCACCTTTAATTAGTCGAGTTAAGAGAGAAACCAAACACGCAATATTTGGCCTGGAATGGCGCGACTTACCCAGAGAGAAATGATGACGAGGACTTGAGATGAAAAGGAGAAGCCCTCGGCGCGGCGATCGGCATGTAACACATATCAGCGCCTACAAGACTGCACGAATACTTCACGCATTGCATCAAACACAGTGCGGTCATTGCGAACAGCGTGAAACGGATAGCGCCTACAAGAATGCATGTACCTACTTTCGCGCAAAGTTCCGTGAACTTTTGCTAGTAGTGTTGACAGAGCTTTCCCAAAAAGTGTGTTCAACACGAGTAAACGCGTCTTATGCACCCCTCCCCCGCTGGCACGTTCATTTGATGGTTTTCATTGATGTTTCAAAACGAATGAGAAGGGGGCGGCAAAATACTAGCGGCCCTGCATAAGTACCTAAATATGCGACGATGCAAGTTTTTCATCGCCCACATTAAATAGTTAAACCAATATGAACACGGTTTTGAGTCTATTTCCGTCAAAAAAGGGAAATAGAGGCAGGAGAAGGAACCTTCCGTGGTGGAAGGGCATGTAAAAAATCTCTTTAAAAACTTGTAAATTTTAATTAAAAAACTCAATTAATTACTTCTTTTTCTCATAATTTTTACGAGAAGAATTTTTACGTACGAAGAGGAAACCCTTTTTCGGATGTTGTAAGTAACATTTACGAGAGGTCAAATTGAAGTACAACAGGTAATTGTTTAAAAAAACTCTTAGAAAACTCTCAAAAAATGTTAAATAATAGTAACACACTAGTTCCTGTCTGAACACTTCTCTATAATAATTTACCTTAAAAATTATTTTCAAGTATCAAGTTTTTTAAAGAATTTTTAAACACTATTTCCACTTAAATTTTGCCCTTCGTCAATTTTACTTAAGAAAAAAATTCCCCCTAAGGATTTCCTTCCTCGTAAATTTTAACAGTTGTTTAAAGAGTTTTATAAACAAAAATTTTAACTGGCGTTGCTTGTAGGGTTCGAACAAACAAAAGTGAATCCAAAATTCTACAGCCTTCGAAGAGGCTGAAAAAGAAAACGGACCCTAAAGAGTTGCCAAAGCTTCGAAACAAACTGACCAACACTCGGTGTTATTACATCAGCTCGATCCAGACAGAGGGTTGGACGAACAAGAAGTGGGGTGTACAGGAACAGCCTTCCTTCCGCAAGGCGAATCACGAAGTCTTATCCGCAGGACATCCTATTGAGTCCTTCGCTTTTTCCGACTTGGTCTATTGATCCGAGCTTTTGACCCATATTTATTTTAGGGACCTTGACCTAGAAATGCCAGGGCTCCGGGCAGGGAAAGCTCATTGGCTAACTCCATTCCGCCCCCACCCTCAAGTCGTACGCACTAGACGCTTTCAGAGAGCGGGGGGAGGAAATGTTTCCAAAAAGTGCGTATTTCACGGCCGGCGAAAGCTGAAAGTTCATCAAGCAGGTTTTTAACCCAACTAAATTTTCTCCAAATCTTGGTGCTCGTCCGTTTTTGTTGATGCTCTCGTCTCCCTCAGTTTCTCAGCAGTTGAAAAGAAAAACTCGGATTTTGAAATATCTTTATTATTGAATAATCATAACCCGTCGTTGAAAATTTAATATCATCACGTTTTTCCAGATTAATCGTACTCAGTTTATTGACTTTGGTGGTGTAGTCTCACATGCTCATGTTGGTAGACTGTTATCTTCATGTTCAAGGTCCCAGTGGCGATGGCTACTGCCTGAAGTAGAATGTGTATCAGTATTTTGTGTTAAAATTTTTATATTTCCTCCGGCAAAATGACGATGGTTTCGAAGACTGCCCTTGGAATAGCGGCTGGAATATGTGGAACTGTTTTCATAGGGTATTGCCTTTATTTCGACTCTCAAAGGAGGAAGGACCCCAACTTCAAGAAGAAACTCAGAGAACGTAAGTCACCTACTTATCCTCATGATTCTGGAATTCATCAATAATGATATCGTTACCATCTTATCATGGACACAGCAGATTTGCTTGTTTTCGATCCCTAGCCTTCCGTCAATTTTTTTTTCCATGTCATAGCCCGTCAATGCCACGGGAGGGTACATCCCCAAATGTACCCCTCCATAACCTCACACCTCATGACTTCTCACAATAATCAATTACTTTCTTTATCAAAAGAAATCTGCCATTTTGATTCAAAGTAACATTGATACTTATTTTTATTATTAAGTTTTACTGCAAGTCTAATATCATTTAATGAGATGCCCTCGTTTGGCCAAAATCTCTAATGCAACATGCGTCCAGACTCAAGAAGACATGTTGTTACTCCATTTCTATCCCATCATGGCCTTGTCATTTTTTTTTTGTTATTTTCTCCGATCTGCAGCCTGTGGCCCGATTATTGAAACTATGTCAGCCTGACACGACAAGACATGGCCCTATCTCAACCATGCAATACATTGCAATTTGATGTCTTATCAGGCTGGTTTAATTTTCAATAATCTGGCCGCTGATTGTTGAAATGTTGTGTCTGTCGACCAGTTAAGACAAGATTAATTGAGCTCTGTGATTTGTCAGCTGTACCTTTCCTCCTCAGTTTCTGGCCGGCAAATGATGTAATATACGAGAAGCTAACGGCATCTCTTAAGTTGCCGATACTATGTCGTCAAATCCTGGTTAGAGCTCGCGCACTGTATGTTAAGACAAACGTCTATCTCCGATAAGCTCTGAATTCGCACCACTCAATAGGTTAATACATGTGGTAATGTGGCACCACTGGTGAATGGTGACATAAACAATACTTTGACGTTTGTCTCAACATACGATGCGCCAGCTCTAAATCCATCACTCATCGGCAAGAAAAAGACGACGAGGGATAAAGCTGACCAATCTCAGAACTCTATTCTCCTTAATCTTGTCTTAACCAGACGACGAACACAAAATTTCAACAATTAGGCTGCTGAAACAAATTATACTTTTAATGCTTTACATCTTGTTATCATCTCACCGTTTCTTATGGAACATGGGCCGTATGATGTAAAAATGATGCATGTATTAAATATCAGATTTCATCAGCCAACTAGGCACTGAATGTATGATTCCTTGGTCTCTGTGTCTTTAATCCAGAATCTTCTACGATTAGTGTCTTCTTGTAAGGCAGCGTTTGATCAATATCTCAACTTCTCAGGAACCACACTCATGTGCCTTGTCTTCCAAGCCCTTGGAAGCCTCCAGAACCTCTTCACTTGATTTAATTTTGATGCATATGGTTTATGATAATACTGATATACTTACTTAGTAATCTGACTGTATTCTCTTAGGTCGGAAGGCAGCTAAAAGTAGTTCTTCAACCCATGCCGGCAAGACTCCTCTACCGGACTTGAAAGACTCTGAGGCTGTCTCCAAGTTCTTCATCCAAGAAGTAAGTGACAATTTTCAATTCCATAAGGATTAGTATTCTACTTGATTAAATGAACTTTTATTACTCTCTATCATCTGAGTGTTACCAATCTGGTACACCGAGTGAGCCTATCAATTTGCCGCAGTAAGTTTTTTGATCCACTCAGCTGACAGCGACATGTAGAATACTATTTCAAAATTTATCATTACAAGCAGCGCTTCAATCTTATGGAGAAATTTAAGGGCCACTTTGGCCCAAGGTACGAGAAAGATGGCGGTAAAACACTTAGTGCCAGGTCCAAACTATTCTTAGAGGAAAACTATTCTCAAGATGAAAAAGTTCCAAAATTTCAATAAGAGTCAAAAAATTTTGAGTCAAAAACCTAACTCGAGGCTAGAACTTGGCTCTCGGCTCCCGTCGCTACTTAGAGCTGTGGCGCAAAATTCAAATTTCAACAGCTTTGTAGTCTTGGTCAAAAAAAAATATGACTGTCTGCTGTTGATTAAAATGAAAAAACAGCCATTTCACTGAAGGCAAATAACTCTCATCACGTCACGCTCTTCATTCCTGAAGAGTTTGCTTGAACTGAACTTGTTCGTTTTTATCAACTGCAGACAGTCTTATTTGTTTTCGGCCAAGGCTGCAAAGTTGCTGAAATTCAAATTTTGCCCCACAGCTTTAGCAGCGGGAGCAGAAAGAGTCGGGAAGAGCATATATACATTTTACTTACCTTGACTTTGGCCTGCTTGATGTATGTTGAGGGGCCTTAATGGTTTTTTTTCCTGAAATAATTTATGAAGAGAATCGCATGCCTTACAGCACCATAGAATCAGGTTTTTCTCACTGATTACACATTTTCACTCGTTAGCTTTTCTTCGTCTTTAATGTCATCGCTGAACTTAACTTGTTTTTCTCTTCATCTAATTTCAGGTCAAAACCGGTGAAGAATCTCTTGGTCGAGGAGAGGTCGCTGAGGCTGTTGAGCATTTATGCAATGCTATCGCTGTCTGTGGTCAGCCTTCAAACCTTCTGCAAGTACTTCAACAAACTATACCACCCGAAGTTTACAGAATGATCCTATTCCGCTTGCCTGAAGTTAGTCAAGTAAGTATTGTAAAACAAACTCCATCAGCTCTCTTTTATGTTTTATTATTCATCAATGATATGAATAGGTATTGAAAGTTTTTTGAAAAAAATCTACAGCTGGCCAATTCCTCAAAAGGATCATCACTTTATTTTCTGCTTTACGGCCAAGAGGTCTCTCTAGACCTCTAGGGAGATTGTAATTTTTAGAGGTTCATCATTCAGTAATCATAAAATCTTATCATTTCAGCTACCTACTTCTTATTTTGCTTGCAATGTGTTTAAAGTAATCACCAAGTACTTACTGATAGTGTGAGAAGTTGTGATTGGGAAAAGCTGTAAATCATCACCTCCTAGTCTTGAGCCTTGAAAATGGTTTCTTAAAAAACATACACCAGGAAAATTTTGCGGAATTTTTAGTTTATTTAAGTAGGTTATATGTAGTTTCTCTCTGCGCAAACCTAACTCGGCTACTATGGAAAACTGCCCACAGACAAGGTAAATTTGAAAATGCAAGATATGAACTACTAAATTACCTTTTTGGTCCTTTGAGCTTCAATGCAAATTGTCATTTGATGAATTTAAACTGAACTGTAAGCATGAAATAAGTCAGAATCGTCAGGGATGAAATTGGAATGGATTCATCTCAGGAGTACAAATTGCTCTAGGCCTCCACAATTTTCTGAGAGGTCTTCCTAATTTTCTGTAACGCTCCGGATTTTTGCAAGAAAGTCAACACAACGCGCTGATTTTTTAGTAAATTTCTGGATAGTTTTAGGATGTGTGCTAAAGTCGAATTAATTGACCTGAGTCGAAAATATGATAACCTTCCAAAAAAAAGAAGAAGGATAAATTTTCTCAACCTCCATAACTTTTAGGGTACTTTCACAAATTGATTGCGACTGGGCGGTTCAGAAAAATTTGCTTGCATGATCCTGACCTATCTCTTACTGACTCAGACATTTATTTGAACACAAACGCATTGCTCCAAACTTCGGTACTTAATTTGCTTTTCGAATTCTTTACTTGGGGTTTTCTAATGTCATCAAACCGAGACTGACGAGCTTTCAGCTCGGAGACAAATCTACAGTTTTCATACCGAGCGGAAATAAACTGTAAAGTCATACTTGGCATTGAAAAAGTTGTTGATATCCCTCTGTTCCGTATGTCTTTAATTTTTTGTCAATTTTTAACGATTCTCCTTTTCTTTTGCAGAATATCATTCAACAGCAGAGTATGAATATGAACTCACCTTCAATGGATCCCGAGTAATTTCAAAATCTCCCGTGTAGAATTGATTCAGTAGTCACTTACTTTTTTTTCTTTTCTTTTCTTTCTTTTTTGTATTTCCTCAACACATTCATTTATACTGTTCAGGTTTTCACATTTCCTTTAATTTTGATTTCATGCATTTTTATTCGTCAATAGGTCATCGCATAACATCATCTCTTTATTTTTTCGAGACGTTCTTAAAACCAATTCCGAATTCTGTTTTTTTCGTAGGTTTTATTATTTTCTACTTTTTAGTGTTCGATTTATAGCAAGGTTTATTTTTTATTTTAAAGTTTAAGTGTAAAATATTTTTGTTGCTGTTTCTTGTGTCCTTAAAAATATCTATTTTTATCTATCAGATATCATATATTTTAATAGCTGAACACCATTTTGTTTTGTAAGGATACAATTGTGTTTGCAGCAACCATACTGACCCACCTTGGTTTTTATACCAAATATGAATGCTACAAATTGTCTTCTCTTGCAGGAGGGAACATATCACGATTGCGATATTTCCATATTTTTTTAAATTTCCAGTGGTTTTTCTTTCCGCTCGTGAGGATTGGCGATACAACTTTTAGGTAAATTTCGTGCGATAGTTCTTTGATGAAAAAATTAAAGTCATGCAGAAGTGCTTAAGCAGCACAGGCCAGTAAGTTCCTTCTTGTGAGAGTTGACAAAGTAGGCAGTTATCATGCCCTGTAAGATCCTAGATTTCTGTTTTAAATACTGTATTCAAGTGATCATTTTTAAATAACTCCCTCTTGCTTCTCTCAAGTGGTTAGATCATCTCTGCAAACTTCCTCATTACCAATCCTAGGTTTTTCCTTTTTTATGTACTCGATAGATATTGTGCGTGCTCTTTGGTGTAAAATATTTATTACCTCTTAAAATATTGATTTCGTTTGTTTCCCTTTTTCTATGTGATTTTATGTTTAATGAACTTACGATTTATCCCTTTCATGATCCTTCAGTCAACTCGGGACAGGATCCTTTAAAAATAAACTATCATCTGTTATTTGCACAAGTTTGCCTTTTTTGAAAACTTGGTTACATTTATTATTTTTAAATTGAATTTCAAGACTTAACTTGTTGAGCAATCTTTAATTAAAATTAAGTAGAATTATGTTGACTAACTCCCTTAATAATTCTGGGAGTTGAGGGCCAGGAACCTGCCTGAAGTTTCTAAATTAGTTTTGAGAATGTTTCGGAGAACTTCTGTGTGTGTTTTGTTACAATAAAAATTACCCTTTCAGCATGGGAGGGAATTAAGGTAATTTGAATAGGTCAAGCGCGATGGCATATCATTTCTTGGATTCAACCAACTCATTGTTAACTTTTAAGTCAATGAAAAGAAAGTTTTACCGAATTTCCCTTTTTTCCATCATTTTTAACAAGCAGGTGCCTGAGTGGTTTTGGAAAGTAATTGAATCGGTTATTCTCAAAACGACTCAAGGTCCAGAAACGAGAATACAACAGTAAAATCACTGAATGGGTATGTTCTAAATTTTAGAATAATTTATAATTTGATTGATGAATAGAATGGATACTTGAAAACAATTTTTACTGTTGTTCATATTTTCATTTCCAGCACTCGAGTCATTTGAGAATGATCGATTCAACTTTTCAACTGATACTTATATGTAAAACAATAGAAACATACTTATCGATTGCCCTGTTTTAAATTCTCTTTCGTACTTTATTTTTATCCTTAAAAATTTACTGTCATCATTCCCATTTGGAAATAGGGCAATCAAAGTGTATTTTTTAGTTTTACCATTTGTATGATGTAAATGAAGGGTTTGTCTGTTGTCCTTTTTTAAGCCCTACAAAATATTCATCAACATAATTTGTGATTACTTTCTTGTGTTAGAGTTGATGAATTGGAATGCTAAATATTCATTGCCGTCATTCAATAATTTACTATAGTGACGTAGGGCAATAGATCTCTAAAGGATTGAATTTCTTTTACCTTAAAGCTACTCTAAGAACGATGATAATCCATCATGAATTGACTTTGTTTAGAGCTTAATTTTTGCTTCAGTGCTAAGTTCGAATTTGAATCTCTGATGACATCTCTGGAACATCCTTTTTCATGGTGAGTGAAAAAATGAACACAATTAAATAAGATAGAAATTATCAAGAAAAAATTTGTTGGATGTTTTCAGTATTTTGTGAATACCTATTTGTTATATTTTAAGCAAAAAACACCTAATTAAATGGATTAAGATGTTAATTTTGACTTTTTGTTATCCTCCATTGTGTACTTATAAGCACATGCAGCTCATAAAATACGAGACGTTAGATTTTTGTTACACTAACAGGGTCCCTTCTCCAAACACTGGCGGACAGCTGCCATATATCCATCTCAATTACCTTCAGCATACTCTAAGTTTGCTCTCCCTTTTGATCTCTCTTGTACAGATGGTTACAGCCAAGTATTCTTAGACTGGTACTTTGAGTTTTCTGAGAACTGGTGTCAGTGGCGTGGCGTGAATTGCGATCTATCGATTGTTATGCCATTTAAACCTATCGAAAAGCGAACACCTTAATAATCGATTCTTTACCATAGGTTTAAACGGCAACAATCGATACATCGCAATTCACGCCACGCCACTGACTGGTGTCCAGTCTCAGGTGTTCTCAGGATGAAAGATGACATGAAGTCAAGAGGCAGACAAGTAATGGGACTAAGTACTTGAAATAATAAGTAGAAATTACGAAGAATTAAAAATAATTATGATATATTTACATAGGTACTGTAATTTACAACTTTTGACCGATAATACAATTTTGAGATACAAAAACAAATCGCTTACAGGAATATTGTCTTTTAACTTATAAAAATACAGAGCGTCTTTTAAGTTAGTATTTGGAGTTGCAGAAGTGAACAGTGTTGCGAGACTAAATTATGAGTATCAGAATTTACTTACATACGTATTCCAAAATTCATTTTAATTGCGTAGAAAAAGATTGGTTTTGATATTGTACTACCCTAGTCTAGGAAAGAAACAGGCCACTGCTGATTGCACGAAACATGAAAATTGAAAGAACTATGATTGAGATATGTTCTGGAAGGTACTTACAGACTATGTTAACCATTAAAAATAAATAAAACATAACAGATCAAAAATCCGGAGGAAGGGTAAAGATCCATGTGAGAGAAAGTGTTGCACTAAAACTATCTATAATTTAATCAGTTTAGACATCTAATATCAATGGAGATTGGTTTCGTGGATAAAAAACTTTAAAAAAGACAGAGGAAACACTTAATTATAAAATTAACAAATCACTAACATGTCATATTAAAAAATTTAGTAATCACATTTGAGTTTCACAACTTAGATACCAAACAAGAGCACCTCTGAACCGTTTTGATCAATAAATTTGACACCTGTGTTTTTGAATCCAGATGGAACCATTACCTGAAATCAAAAGACATATTATTGTTAGGATTTGGTGATTTGAGTTGATATTGAGGAGAGTGAACTGCTAATTTAATTGACACTGAAGCTTCAAGGAGTCAGCTATTAACAGTAAAGAATCCAAGTCCTTGATGAAATTTGTGACTCACAGAAATTCTTATAGCGTACCCACTGCACCGATAAGAGTAAACAGCGGCAAGCACTGAAATTCAATGCCGGAAATTTTATTATACAGTCAGCTAAGTATCGCTGAGTGCCAACCCGTATTAATGAGGAACCCAGCTAGGTAAGCAGGATCTGTTAGCCTCCTTTTTTGCCCATCGAGCAGAAACCTAATTACAAAAATTTTCATCAAGGCTCCTTCATTGAAAGAAGGATTTAGATGGACTGATGAACCTTTTTTCAGTGAGCCTTACTGTATGTACTTTTTTCTTTATTCGCTCCATTTCTTTGAAGAATAAAAAAAAGGTATATAAAGCTAATTCTCTTTAAGTCATTACCTCCGAAACAGAATTTTGTCACAAAAAGCTTTTCAAATCAGGATTTAATTAAAACATGTTGCATTTTTTTATTAAGGAACAAAATCAAAAGCATTCTGACATATAGTAGGTAGTGAATCAATGAGAATCATGGTCCATGAGAGTTTGCACCCTGAAGATTCAAGGGCAACTGGAACAGATCTCAGGCAAAGATCAGCCAAAATCTTGAGAAAAAATCAAGTAAAAAATGAAAGAGCAAATGCAATAATGAGTCCTGAACACACAATTGTTTAAGGAATTATGATCAAACAATTCATCTAATACCGTTGCGTTTAAAAAATGGAAGGTTTCTTAAGGAGGCACTAGATTAGGTTCCTCCTCAAAGTAGAGGGCAGGAAAACTGCAAAAATACGGATCTCGGTAGCAGTGTTTCAAAATCTCCCCTCCTATTTTATTTTCTAGAAGGAGACGGAACCAGCACCATGGCAAGTTCTTATAGAATATTCTTCCGGTATAGAGGAAAAAACACTGAAATTTTAAAAAAATGGCGTTCAGTAATTTTCCATGTAGAGAGGAAGGTATGACGGGAAGTCTGCAATGCTGCAAACGGAGGTAGGTATTTCTGCAGTTTCACCATGGATGTGTACGAGCAACTAAAACAAATGAAGATTTCATACCTTATCAACAACATGAATTAGTCCATTAGTTGCTGTATTATCACATTGCACAGCCTTCATTGGTCCAAATAGGACACTTCCAGAGCCATCTCGTTTAACTTCCATGGCTCGGCCTGCGAGTGTTGAAACATGGTTGGTGAAGATCCACCCACTCATACCAATGCCTGAGCAACAGAGTGAGTCTGAAATGTAGGAGAAAATCATTGTTAGCATTATCTAGTATGATGTAGGCAATGTCATCTGATTTCCTTTCTGCAAGAAAATACCTACTGATATGATAAAACTGGAACCTCAGAGGAAGGATGAAATAAAAAAAAAAAAAAAAAAAAAAAAAAAAAAAAAAAACAGGTTTCACTAACTGTTGAAACGTAAAGATTCACTTGATTGGCATGCTACCTTTAGGTCATAAAACAAACAAAACAAAAGATAATGAAGATTATAAATTGGACAGCTTTGTCCGGATTCAGCCCAACTGCATTCCACATCGCATCATTTGCGCTCATGGTTTTTTTTTTTGTTTTTTTTTTTTTTTAATTTTACGGAAAATGGAGAATTTGCATACAAATTTTTTAATGCTTCATCTGAGAGTGCTTAAAGAGCTGATTTTACAGTACTTTTATAATTTTTTTCTGATAAGGGAAATAGTATTAAAAATAGATTTATGAGTGAGAAAATACACCGCCTTGTGCGGCTCCATCTGGCGGCATTTCCCATTTAAACACATGTATTTTAGCAGGTAAGATAATTTTGTCATATCTTCTCCAATAATTGTTCAATTCATGACCCAGGGGTATCTTCGTGTTCAGTTCACTCATTAGTTTCCAGTTAAACATGAAATTCATCAAATTTCAAACACCTGCAAATTATTTATTGAACTACTTAAGTAACACCTTAAAGCTTTCTGTGATTTTACCCTAGATTATGAAGATACTTAGAAAATTTCTAGTTTAGTGTTACTTGGTTTTCTGTTTAAAAAATTAAACATCATAGGAAAATAGACTTTATCTCATTTGATTCGGCTGATTCCAGTTTGGTACATCCAATTTTTATTCACATTAAAGTTTAAAATCCTCTAGAGGTTCCTGAGTCTTCAAAGTTCTGAAACGAATCTGTAGATTTAAAAATAAGTTCTACTGATTTCTGATTCCTTTTAATATTTTCTTCTTTTTTGATTGGTGCAATAGTGCTCACAGTTTTAGAGACTGTTTTCTCCCTGATATTACTTGGATTCCATTTCACGAAACCTAAGAATTTTTATTTGGCATTAAAATCCGTAAATGGCAACACATCAGTCTCAGACTCAGGTGACCGGACCGCTCGCCGGACACCCTTTTTTGTTCAGCGACCATAGGTCGGCAACCCGTCCATTGTGAGGGTAGAAACAATGGGCACCCTTCAAACCTCCTTAATGGGCCTTAGTACCCAGACCAAAATTTTTTTCTCGCTGGAAAATTCATCTTTTGGGGTGAAAATTTAGTTCCAGCGTGAAATTATGATAAAAACGCACTAAATTTCCGTCCAATTATCTTAATTTTGAGCTGACATACAGTAGCACAAGGTGAATTGCGGTCACACGCAAATGTCGTATATTAGCTCAAAATTAAGATAATTGGACGGAAATTTAGTGCGTTTTGATCATAATTTCACGCTGAAACTAAATTTTCACACCAAAAGATGAATAGTCCAGCAAGAAAAATATTTTGGTCTGGGTACTAGGGCCCATTAAGGAGGTTTGAAGGGTGCCCAATGTTCCTACCCTCACAATGGACGGGTTGCCGACCTATGGTCGATGAACAAAAAAGGGTGTCCGGCGAGCGGTCCGGTTACCGGAGTTCAAGACTGATGCGTTGCCATTTACGGCCTTTAATGCCAAATAAACAGTCTCAGGTTTCGTGAAATGGACTATAGTAATAAGATTAAACGAATTTCATCATCCTGAAGGATAATAGAGCAGGTGGAATAGCCCTTAAAGTCCAACAAAACTGCACAACTTACCAGTGAGGACATGCTTCCGCAGAACTTCATCTGCGAATTCTTTATCTTTCTTTAATTTCTCCATGGTTTCAGCGGGTAGTTTTTCAAATGCACTATTGGATGGGGCTAAGACAGTGAATGTTCCTTCCTGAATTTCTTTCTCTAATTTTGTGTCCTGAGGATGAAAAAGAAAAAATTGTTATATAATTAGGACAAGGAAACAGTACAATGAATGACAGATCAACCACTAACTACCTATTTTCTGGTTTTACAAAACAGGGTGTCTACAGCGACCTAAGGCAAAAAAATTCCCCGCCTTTCCCTAGCTTTTCCTCACTAAAATGATCAAAATTCTATGACTTTTCACAATGAAAATTTGCATGTGTAGAGCTGAAAACGAACAGTTAGTCGAATTAATTTTACTGCAAATTACAGGAAAATAAGAACCTTTTGCTTCAGGTAATAATCATGGCTACGATGATTTTCAACAGGTGGTTTGTGACTGTTTTTTGCTTTTGATCTCCACCAAAGATTTATGAGGGAAATCAACAGCTGTTCCGCAGTTTTCCACTTAAACGATAAAACGGTACAAGTGCTGTTGATTCCACCCACAATCTGGCGGAGCTCAAAGGCAAAAACGCCATTTCTGACTTTGAAAAAATGGTGTAGTGTGGCGCCACACTCTAAGGGGCGAATCAGCGTAGCCGTAATCATGCAATGGATTGAAAGTGAAATTCCTTAATGAAACTTATTCCTTTTTTTCGATAAGATCTGCAACTTGGAACATTGAAACTTAAATCAGACTGCAGCTCAGTTTGGTTGTGTGTGGACACCACTCATGTTTTTTTGGATTTCAAATTTCTAGATTTTTTTTCAAATTCCAGTCTTTTTGATAAAATTCCCAAACTTTTTTCAACTGATTTAAAACTGAATTTTTATAAAAGATACATTTTTTTATGACATTATTTAAAATTATGATGAGAAATTTTTCATCACATTTTTCAGGCACACATAGAGAACGAAACTTTTAGAGATGTTGCATTTATTTTTACAACTGGAATAATGAGTACTTACTTTCAAAACACTGTTGAAGGCACTTAAGTTTTGATTTTCAGCTAATGTTTCGAGGACAGTCTGTTTTGGTGGGATCATGACCTTGTCGATTTCATGAGCATAGCTCTCACAAGCTTTCATGTCATGACTTAGTACTCGAGCACATTGAACAGTTGCAGTTTGGTCAAATACTGAGAAAAGAGGCAACTGAAAACAGAGCAGTCATATTAGCTATTTCATTTATGAAAAAAGGCATTTTAAAAGTAAAAATTGAAGAAAATCATCAACATTATTTATCTGTGTATTAACTATTTCAATAAAAGCGCACAAAGGCGTTAATGATTGAGAGTTGAAAATTGGATGACTTCACATTTATATTCTTAAAAGTCACTTTATTAACATGAAGTACTTTAGATTTTTAGGGCATAATATTATTTTAACTAGGAGCAATCAATTCCAAGGCCCCTTGGCAGCAAATGTTTAGGTATCATGTAAGTTTCAAGCCTTTTCAAAGCCTTAAGAAAAAATATCAAAATTATGCATTTACAAGGGCGCACGAAGCATGATTTATGTTCAGTGAGAGTTTTATGAAAGTGCACCATTCTCAGAGTATGGGCCTCTGGACAAAGTCTTAACCAGAGAAAACGTCACATTTTGCCTCTTCAAAATCCTACATAGAAAATGATCCACATAACGGAAAGTTTGGGGATCAATTCCTCAATGAAGTATTATTTTGAACACAAATCAAATGAAAATTAGATTATAAAAATTACATCATTTGTATTTATATCATTGAACTGCAATATTGATTTTAAACTTGTATACCTTGTTTGGGAGTTGATTTTTAGACTTTCCGTACTTAATGCAATTCATTTTTTGTGTGAAATTTTAAAGAGAAAATATGCTGCATAATGTTTTAATTTATACTTTGTCTGGAGGCCAGATCTACTGGCCTATGCAATCATGCATGGTTTATTAAAGCCCTATAAATTCTACTTTTTGTATTTAACCTTATTTCAAGAATCACTACGTCATATAATTTTACAGCAGAGATTATACTATACACTTACAGAGTTGTAAAGGTTGAGATGCAGTTTCTTTCCTGGTAAAGAGGTTTCTAAGCTCATGTCATCAGACATATCGCATGATAAAACAGGTTTACTAGTCATGTGGTACAGTAAAGTATCCTTCAAGGCTTGTGTGTCCATTCCTTCTAGAAGAGGTTTGGCATCATCCAGAGCCTTCTCGGAGGGAACGAAAATAGTTGTGTTGCGTGAGTCATCCAGCATGCTCATCAATCCAGCTTTGTTGACTAGATCTAGGAATGTCGTGTGGTTGCCACTAGATAGCATTTGGCTCATTGCTTGTGCTACAATAGGAAAACAAAAAATTTATAGAATACGAAAAACTTCAAATATTCTGACATTTTATGAAGAATTTAAAACATTGAATTAACAGAATTGAAAAAAACTTACTTTCTGATCATGCATCAACAGCAGGGTGGCTGAAAAGCTGGAATAATTTGCTCTACAAACTCTCAAATGTTGCCAAAAATGAATAAAAGACAAAATTGTAAATTTCCCTTTCTTCTAAAAATATATTTTCACAAGACCGAAGACATTTTTTTTTATTTTTATTTTTTCGCCTGTAAATATTTGAATTATAATATTGATCATCTAAATCTTCAAGGAAAAGTATTATACATTTTCTTGGAAGTAAATATTTTATCAGAGAAAATTTGGCAACTTTAATTAATTGATGTGGTATTTTCAATTTGACTTCTGAAAAATGAGAATGAAGCCTGCAGGTAGTCCTGAGTGTATAATGCAAGATGTTACAAAATTGATTAGAGTAGAGACAAAATATTTGCTTTAACATTGAAACTATTGGAAATTCAATTCATCTTAGATCTTCAGGAGTTACTTAAGATTGCCGAAGTATTAAAAAATGATGGGACTATTCTCACCTGATGATGGAGCAAGCACTTTATTGATGACATACAGGACTCCATTGGTGCCAACCAAGTCAATAACTTCGGCATGAGCTTTGTTGCCAATTAGAAGGTTGTTATCATCAGTGCGCTCGAGAGCTAACCAATCTCCACTGATGTCACGGGTGGACAAGCGTCGGTCACTGACGATAGCTGCAGAGCAGATTGAGTGTGGAATGAGGTGATGGCGGGCGACACTGTTTGCACAAGCTTGACCACGCAAGTATTTAGACCTTAATCCAGCATCTAGCTTGTCAAAAGCAGTGTTGCTTGGGGCAAAAACAGTGAAATGACCATCTTCTTCCAGCTTGTTCAAATCTCCAGATTTCTCCAACATCTGTTTGAATTGCGATAATTGTTTGTTTTCGATGATGAGTTGCTTCAGGGTTTTCTCCACAGGATATAGCATCCTGTCGACAATGTGAACCATGCTGTTGTTTCCTAAGTGGTTTGGAGACTTGATGCGTGCGCAGTTGACAGTTACAATTGGCTCGGTTTCACCAGGGTAAACATTCATGCGAAGCTTGGACCTTTTGTCTTCGGATTCAATTACCTGCAAGCAAAAAAAAAACCCAATTTTTAATAATGATGAATCGAGGAATTATTTTAACAAAGATCAAACTTTTTGATTGTGATATTTTTGAGTATTGTTTTGGCTGTCTTCAAAATATTTCATCTGTAGGAGAAGGTTACTTATTTCATACGTATTCGATCAAATTGCCATATTTTGTAGCGCTGGTATGGCTACTCTAGGGTCCAGAGCTGGACCAATTACTTATTAATCGTTTGCTACCGGTCCAAAATAAACAGTAGCCGTAGCATAATCACTGATGGTGCTAGGATCGTCCAGAATGTAAGTTTACTTATTCAATATCTCCAGAATATGATAGATACAGAAAATCTGTGATTAACGTAAAAAAAAGCCACGAACTCTCAGCTTTCTAATGCACTATTGATTTTTAAAATTGGTTCAGCAGAACTTCAGAAGATATTGAATGGGTAAACTTACTTTTTGGACAACCCTCGTATTTTAAAACGGTATTCAGCTCTCACATCTCTGGCTTGTTTTTGAGGCGCTGGGTGAAGTATTAACAAAAATTGCAAAGGTAGAAATCAAATTAGAAATATTGAAGGCAAATATTGTAAGGAATTGAAAAATTGTGAAAGTAATTTACCTGTTCATTGTTAACATCATTGACATCGATCAAACCCTTGGCAACACTGGCCATGACAACATCATCGGAGATACTTCTTACATCAACAACAGGTCTTGGAGTTGGTTGACTAGGAACTTCATTTGTGTCATCATCCACCCTCTTCTTTCTTAACTCATTTTCGTTTGTTTCAGACTGAAAATATCAGGGAGCATTTATTAGAGTTGTCTTAGAAATAAAGGAAAAGTTCACAGATTATGGATATAGATAATAAAAAAATTGAACAATAAACAATGCCATTCCATTCTTTCTAGTATTCTATTTGGCTTCCTTAAAGAAGAATAATAGGAGGACACATTAAAACGAGAAAAGTTAGGAGTTAAAAGTCATAAAAAGCGACACTTTGGGACTGGTAACATATCAATGGCTAAGGGCAAAACATTTTTATTTTCATTGCAACATTTTAAAATCTCCTGTTATGTTGTGTGTGGATAAGAGGAACAAGTATTTGAGATACTCACAGATGCAGGTTGAGCGTCAGATGGCTTGAAGACATCATCAGCAGGGATGAACCAGGTTACATTTTCGTTGCTGAATTTCTTTTGCATGTTGTTTTTCTTGAGAACTTCGCCGAAGGTGCTGGCACCTGCTTCGCTTAAAACTTCGGTAACTTCTTTCAAATCCACTGGAAATTTGAAAAAAACAATGTTTTAAGGATATAACTTCAGATTTTGAATATGGTGCATTTGATCTACTAGTATGATCAAAAATATACATAAAAAGTGAACACTGAGGGGGAAAAAAGGCGATATGGGAATATAAAAATTTGATCCGTGTAACTGATTTTAAAGGACCACATTTAGAAAAAAACTTTTTCAAGGATTATTTGATTTTGTGCATTGGTCTGAAGCAGATTTATCTTGTTGCTCTTTTATTATTTCATTCCTTTCATTAATTTATTTATTCATTTTTTTCTATCTTACATAATTGTAAAAAGTAGAAAGTCTTAAAAATTTTATTAGACATGATGTCAGTATTTTGAGAACCTACAAACTCTCTTCATGAACTCTAAAATATTTAAATTTATTGTGGACTATTTCCTTCATCGCTAGATTATTCATAGCCATGCCCGATTTTCCACGTTCCATCATATTATAAAATGAAAAAGCATTTTTACCTTTAACGCATCCTTTGGTCCGGTCAATGCGTCGGTAACCATGACAACATTCATAGGTAACAGTGACAATTTTGGATAGTCCTGGAGATCGTGTGCTATAGATAAAGGTGAAAAAAAGATCCGATGAGTAATGAATATTTTAAAGGCATGTATGAACAGGTGCAAAACAGTGGAGCAAAACCTAGCTGATTTGTAAGCTGTAAGCAATTTTTTTCAGCTCATTTTTTGAACCAAAAGTTGTTAAAATATAATTTTGATGTATAATACTGTTACCTACACCATATTGTGGGAAATTTTTTATCTCGTATTAACATATCATAGAACACCAAAGATCTTGAAAACCCTACATACAGACAGCAAGTAAAACACAAATCTATCTACAGTAACAAAAATTGATCTAATCACAAATCGATGCTTTGAGGAGTTTTAAACTTTTAATTTTCTCTTAGAAAAGAGGAAATTGAGGTATTCCTCCAGGTCTTTCCAACATTAGAAACCTGTATAGAGAAAAAGTACAGGAGTATAGTAAAAATTTTCAAGACAGCTAAATCTGATTGATTTAATCTCTTAATTAGATTGAAAGCTAAAGCATATAATGTCCAGATTTTCTTGATAATTCAGTTTTGGCAACTTTTGAAGTCATTTAACAGGAATGATAATCGATAAGCAAGACGGATGAAAAGAAAAAAACTTCGAAAACAGTATTTGATACAAAGAATACTCACGTTGTTGTGCAAATGTATTTGTTTGGTGTGTGTCTGCAACTTGACAATTGTGAAGAACCGATTAGGAAGAACTGATTGACAGGGTTATCTGCCTCAGCTTCTTTCTTCTGATCCACTTTCTCTTCACGGTTAACACATACATGCTCACTGAAATATAATGTTAACAATATGAATAAATGAAACAAAAAAAGAAATAACTGTTAAAATATGCATGTCTTGGTGAGCAAAATTTTCAAAACTCAGAACAAAAATCAAGGCTTTGGTGTTTAAATTAATTACTGGATGGATACAGTAGTGAAAAGATATCGTTGATAATTTTTTGGTCTTAATAAATAGTTTGGCTTGCATCGTCCCATCATAACAGGAATTTGCGAAGGGAGGATTAGTTAGGCACTGCATCTTTTTAATCGGAGTTCATTTTGCTTCTGATGAATTTCTTTCATAATGTTTATTTTTGTATGACAGGGCGTAAGGTTATTTCAGAGTGACTTCAAAATGCCCTGACTTTCCCATGACTTTTCAAGCTTTTGAACCAAAGAATTTTCTCAATTTTCCATGACTTTACAACGTTTTTCATTTCAAATGAATATGCTTTTAACCAATATAATTTTGCCTTAAGTCTCTAGTGATAGAAAAAAATCGTAAATTTGAGAACTTAACAACCTAATTTTTGTCAGGAGAGCAAATAAGTAAGTGCGATATAAAAAACAATGACATTTGACATAATGACATATCATTGATAATAACATTTTTAGACCAGAAGAAAGATTTTCAAAATTCTGCAGAAAAATTCTCTGACTTTCCAGTGTTGCGCACAATTCCTTGACTTTTCCAGGTTTCTAATGACTTTTTGAGAGCTAGTCACTCAGTATAATTAAAAAAGATTCTTACCCTTGCCACCATTGTTTAGCGGGAGACATCTGATTCAAAAGGCTGAATAGACTTGGAATGGGCCTGCCAAACACTTTCTTGAAGAGTTCCATCTCTGAAAACAGAAAAGACAAAAATGATCATGAGTAATTTGGACCACTTAAAATTTCCTTCTTTAACAAAATATTTGAGCCTCAACTGAGGGGCTTGGAGGACAAGGCGCATAGGTAAGTGCAGTTTCTAAAAAAATTGAAATATTAATGATTTCAAGCAGAGCTATTCTTAATGCACATTCTTGGAAAAATTCGCTTCCGAATTCCAATTTTTAAGCATCAAAAAGTCAGTTGGAAGTTCCTTTCCGCCATTAGGATCCACATAATTTTGAAACTTCGAACCAGAAAATTCTCGAAATAGCAAAAACCGTACTTATGCGCTTTGTCTTCCAAGCCCTTCAACTGTTCTCCCGAACTGTTGGAGACAAGCGTTTGTTGAGCCAGTACTGCCCGACGATACGGTAGCAGTGGCGTGGCGTGAATTGCGATGTATCGATTGATATGCCATTTAAACCTATGGGAAAGGATCGATAAACAGGGTGTTCGCAGCGAACACCTTAATAATCGATTCTTTACCATAGGTTTAAATGGCATAACAATCGATATATCGCAGTTCACGCCACGCCACTGTACGGCAGCAATAATCCGTGAGGTGTGCCACACCAAGTCCTGCAAATCGGATTTTCTTTGCGTAAGCCTCAGATTTGCCTCCCTGCACTGCCGGCGCACAGTGGATCGAGTCAATGGAAAAAGTCGGATTTTCGACATTTTTGACAGAAATTTTAAAATTTTACGTTTATCTCATCACGATTTCAATTTTAAGGGGTGCTTCTTACAGGCAATTTTACGAGACAACCAATGAAACTACTTTTAAAACATCGAAATTACATATTAATGGAGATATCGTCACCTTCCAGGCAAAGTATCACAAGCGCCATGCGACGTTTAAAAATTTCCGCCGCCATTTTATTTCTTTACTGAGAAATTGTTGGTTGAATCTGTTTGGAAATTTCACTAAATTTTATCGGCAGCATAAAGAAAATTCAGTGAAATTTTCGGACAGCTTCGTTGAACAATTTCTCTGTAAAAAAATAAAATGGCGGCGGAAATTTTTAAATGTCGCATGGCGCTTGTGATACTTTGCCAGGAAGGTGACGATATAAGCTTTGAAAGTTTCTAAATCCTGTCCGATCTCACCCATTGACTCGATCCAGTGAGCGGCGATTCGAATGCGGCACGATTTGGCAACGCTGATTACAATTTAATTATTTTCGGGGGCTAGGGGGCTGGCAATTAAATTGAAGGGGTCTGCAAAACCCTCCTCTCACACAGGCGGCCCCAGGACGCTGCGCAGTAGCGGTGATTGCGCTAATGGACGATAAATGCGCGAAGGAAGTCTCATTTCAGGATGACCCTCGCCCCCTGGCCCCTAGCCCTCCCCTCCCCCGCCCCCGACCAGCTTCAGGACCTGGTGAACATCGGATGTGTCCTGTGAAACGACACTCGCGCTGTTCTACCGCGCTAAGGAAGAACGCCGTATGAACATTCAAAAGTTGCCAAATTGTCCCAGATAAAACATGTATTCTTGAGAAAAATTGGACCGCGTTAAACAGAAAGGAACCGAGCCACATCAGCTATTGCCAAATGTAATTGAGCAATTTAATTTATTACGTAAAAACGATTGTGCGGATTTTTGTGCACATTTTAGTGAAAATTCTCCATAGTTTGAAGCAAATTCCCTAAAAATTTTAAAGGAGTCCGCGCGAAAATTCTCTCATAAAAAAATTAATTGCCCGGTTAAATTTGACGATAGCTGATGTGGCTTGGTTCCTCTCTGTTAAACTCGGTCCAATTATGTGTGTTTTCCCTTGGAATCGCCAGACGTTTTAGAATAAATTAAAAACAAAATTGTCAGGAAAAATTGAAGAAAACTAATCCACAATTTTCCCGGTAAAGTAAGGTTTTACTGAAGGGAGTGTGACAGCGTCTGAAGGCTCATACGGCGTTCTTCCTCAGCACGGCGGTGTTGTTCTGGCCGACACCGGTGACCGGCCACGATCTACTTTTTCGGCCTCTCGGTTTTCGAAAACCGAAAGTTGGGGCCCGCATCCGACACACACCCACGATGAGCCGCTCAGTGTTGTCAACCGAAAAGTTGTAACACAACATGAACCAATCTCGGAAAAATCCAACTTCTTTCACGGTCCCTAGTCAATGAATCACGCAAACCGAAACGAAATACTGATGGAGCGGTGACTTTGGCTCATTGTCAATTTGCCTTCAGTTTTCAGCAGGGCCGGATTCAGGGGGTGGCCACATGGGCCGCGGCCCATGGCGGCAAATTTAGGGGGCGGCAAAAGTTGTAATTTGTTCGAATGTAGGTATCAAGAAAAATATCTATTCCAGAAAAAAAATTGCAAACGAGAAAAGGAGAAAAAATCTCTCATTTCCTAAGAGTTAGAGTATAGAAATTTCTAATTTGTTCGTCTTCCGGTGATGCAAGAGGCAGCGCCTTTCATTAGTCTAGTGGAAAGAAACTAAACAGGCAATTTGGCCTGGAGCGGCGCGGCGCAGAGAGCAAGGATGACGCGGACTTGAGATGGAAAGGAGAGGCCCTCGGCGCGCCGGTCGGCATGGAACATATATTGGCGCCTACAAGACTCCATGAATACTTCACGCATTGCGTCAAACGTAGTGCGGTCGGCAGCGGTTGGCGTGAAACTCATAGTGCCTACAAGACTGCATGAATACTTCACGCATTGCGCACGATGAAAGATTAACTGGACTGCATTTTGCAATTTGAAACTATGAATTTTGGCCCGGTTTAAAAACAACGTGTGTGCCATTAGTTTCCCAGTGCACATAAGTGTATTTTCAGATGAGCCAGAATTTATAGTTCAAAATTGCAAAATGCAGTCCAACCGTTTAATTGCAGAAAATGCTTTCTAGGAAATAGAAAATTAATTTTTCATTATGGGCCTGTTGCAAACTTTTGCTAGAGCAAAAATAAGAGTTGTTTCTCATAGATAATGTCTCAAAAATCACGATGAGCGCATCGGCAAAGTCTGAAATGCACTCATAACTTCACAATCTGCGTAAGAAATTTGCGTTTTTTTAAGCTTCCCGCTTCAAAAACGATACTACGGCACAGGTGAACATTTTGTTAGAGGAGTCGCTCCATCGTCGAGTATCGCTTTTGAAGCGGGAAGCTCAAAAAACCGCAAATTTCTTACGCAGACTGTGAAGTTATGAGTGCATTTCAGACTTTGCCGATGCGCTCATCGTGATTTTTTAGGCATTATCTATAAGAAACAACTCTTATTTATGCTCTAGCAAAAATTTGCAACAGGCCCATTTAAAATGCGTGTTTTGGTAAACATTTTATTCCTTCGTTTATTCGATTAAAAATGTTGTCTTACCGGTCTCTCCGGAGATGTCCTCCTCGCTGGAGTCATTCTCGGTGGACCTGGTGTCGTTGGTGGTTGCGACATCGGTGGCAGAGGGCGCTGAGGCGGTGGGTTTCTCTTCGCTGCTCGTCGCAGGCGAGGCCTCGACTTTGGGTTTCACGTCCGAGGGTTGAGCGAACAAGTCCATGAAGTCTTGGTGGGCCGCCTCGATGTCCTTCTGCATTCTGAAACACAGATTTAAAACCCTCGGTTATTTCTCGAAGGAATTTCTCATCAGCAGTAAGACTAAACAGGAGGGGAAACGGAGCAAGGTGTTCTGCGCTCACTTCACAAGGACCCATTCCCATTGCGTCTTCGAGAGGGGCGAACGTACAGAAATACCCTAAGGTCTCGCACCATCCCTGTAACCCCTACGGTTCTCGCCCTTTTTCAGAGTGATCCCCTTAAAATTCTTTGGGGGCCCCGGTCTCCCAGTCACAAGGAGTAGTCCGCCGAACCAAGGAAGAATACCGTATGAGCCATCAGGCGTTGCCAAATTTCTTTCGAAAAATCACAAACTTTCAGGAAATATTGTGAATATTTCTCCTCCGATTTTTCAGAGGATTTCATTCGTAATTTGACCTAAGAAGTCTGAAAATTGCAACGAAAAATATTCGTATCTTTCCTATAAAATGAATACTTTCTGAGAGGAAATTTGGCAACATTCAAATGTTCATACGGCGTTTTTACTGAGCACGGTAGTAGTTTCCTTTGATCTAGGGGTACTCACAGAATTGGACTATTTATGCCAAAAGGAACTATGTGCATAGGGTTTGCGTGGAACATAGTTCCGCTGCTGCTTCATAGTAATGCTGATGAAGTTTGCTTACGCTGGTATGACCCTTCAAAAAGAAAAAAAAAAAATTAAAACCTCATAACCTCAGTAATAAAGCGATTCATGCCGTTTTCATTAGAGTAGTAGAAAATTATCGAAAACTGAAAATCGATATTTTCGACGCCGAACTGGTTTTTTCGCTGTTCTGGACAATTTGAATTTCCATCTGAGGACTCATTTCGCTGGACTCCATCACAAATAAAACCCACTTTCTTCTACTTTTGAGGGGCATGGAGAGGGTATCTGCGAAGCAACCACTCTGAGCGCTTCCGATTTTTAGTTCCGGCCAAAGTTGGTTAAAGCGCTCTACGTGCTAGTGACGGTGCGTCGAAGGACTCGGAGAGTCATAATCAATCATAAAAATTCAGGACGCCTGATGCGATGAGCAGTGTTCTTGAATTTCGAAGGTAGTAAGGTGTTTGAGCGAGCACGGGACATTATAAAATCTCACCAGAAGTGGCTGGTCACAGCTATAGAAATTAGGTCTGACTCTTGACAGGCGAACCGTGGCTCACGGCAAGGACTTAAACCATTCAGAGGGCTGATTCTTGGCATTGATAGATAAAGCTTCAGACAAAGAGGAAACATTGGGGATGGAGGGATCCTATTGGTGGAGGAATGTGGTTGCAATGCGCATAGGAAAAAGCGAACACGGTGAGAGGGGAAATTCGGTTTAATGCTCTGACGAATCTTGTGGTCGAACCGCAGTCCATTTAAAAAGCAATTAAGAGTCGCGGATTCAGTTCCAGAGTCGTTTTCTCTGCCTCGTGCAACAAATGCTGCGAGCTATGGTTCCACAGGGTGCAGGCGGCAGAAAGTTGGCCGCGCAGCTTATTGGCGCAACCGGCAACTGCCTTCAAAAATTGATAACTTAGGTTCGAAAAAGGCACATTTCAGAAGTTCAGAACTTCCTGACAAGAAAAAAATAACTGAATATTCTGCATAGCTTAACAGAATCTTCAGCACAAATCTCAAATTTAAGGGTCCATATCGGTTTTCTGACGAACAAGAAATTGTTAAAGGCGATTTCTGAAACATTTCGAACGCAAATTGCCTTTTTTGTACCCAAGTCCTCGATAAAATAGACCTGTCTCTGTCGCGGACGTTTCTGACGCGAATCGTATTTCTATTCGCAACAGGTAGGTTTAAAATCGTCGCAACCGGTTGCGCGAATTTGCCGCGCGGCCAAATTCGCGTCGTGCGCGCCCTGTGTAACCGTGGCTTCTGTCAACGCAACTTGAAGCCGCGCACAAAGGATTAAGCCAATGGGAGAGGTCGGACAACATTTGGAAATGTCAATAGCTCATGACTCCGTTTATAAGAAACTTCGAGATTTTAGAAGTGATTCCATTGGTTTCCTCGTGAAATTTTCTTGTAGAAGCGCCCCATAAAATTTAAACTGTGACGAATTAAACATCAAAATTTGCAGTTTTGGTCAAAAATGTTATGTCCGACCTCTCTGATTGACTCGTTCCACCGTGCGGCGCTGGCGCGGGGTAACGGCGCGGCGTTTCGTCGTGAAATTGCAACTTTTTTTATTGCGACACTAACAAACTTGAAAGGAACCAAATGATAATCGTGCGGGAGCTGATCAAGATTGATTTCTAATTGAGGGCCTGAGACGGACCCGTGGCAAGGCGTGAATGATCGATTATCGATTTTTGCCCATTTGAAGCTATGCTAAAGAATCGATAATTAAGGTGTTCGTTGCGAACACTCTGTCTATCGATTATTTTCCATGGGTTTAAATGGCAGATCAATCGATATATCGCAAAGCACGCCATTGAGACGAACCCGTAACCCGGCAAAGGTGGGACTAATCTCGGCGAGGATTCAACGTCGCTCATAAATATAACGACTTCCATTTGGATCGCGATTAGCAAAAAGGAACCAAACCACATCAGTTATTGCCAAATTTAACTGGGCACTTTAAGTTTTTACAAGAAAACGTTTGTGCGGATCCCTTTAAAAATTTAATGGAATTGGCTTCGTGCTATGAGGAAAATTCACTGAAAGCACAAAAATCCGCACAACCGTTTTCGTGTAAAAAATTGAAGTGACCGATAGAATTTGGCAACAGCTTATGTGACTTGGTGCTTGGTGCCTTTCTGCTTATCACGGTCCATTTTACCTTTTGGCACGTGGTTTGGTGTCCAATCGCAAATATTATTGTAACCAACAGGTGAAAAAACTGAGTTTTCCTTCAATCCAGTAGTTATGCAATTTTACCCACTCGGGAGTTAAAATAGTTGTATCACACAAATAGTCTACTATAAGTGCTCCATTTAACGGTACACACAGCGAAGTTTGTGCATTTGAGCGATAGATGTTATGATTTACGCAAACTAGTGGTGTTTGTGGTTTACACAGTGGTTTTGGTGTGTTCGCGACAAACTGATCAACTGTATATTGTTACCGTTTTTCTGAGGAACTTACGGGACATTTCTCTCTCAATAGAGACTTTTCAGTAGGTTTATGAACGCCGAAGAATATCCATATTCTTCTTCCTCGGAGAGGAGATACTATGAATTACAAACGGGCACATTTTCGTTTCGGTGAAAGTTTTGAAAGTCTTGCATTATGATACGCCACATGCGGGTGGACGAAGATACGACAGAGCCCGCCAGCCCGCTTGTTGCTCATTCGGACGTATTTCTATCAAACGGAACCATGTGCATTAAGACATGAGCCCTGATACACATAAAAATACATGCATAACAGGGCTCGCCTCATAATGCACATAGTTCCGTTTGATAGAAATGCGTCCTTTCAATGGACGCTAGGCAATATACACGCCTGCGTTTTATTTCGACGATGAGCAACGACCACAGGTAAAAATCTTATATATTATGATTAAGGGAATTTTCTAGGACAAACGCGCTCTCTTGCACATGACCGTAGTGTTGAGCGATAACGCTTTGGTCCTGAGACTTCAATTCGTTGCTTCAAGATTCATTTTTAAGATAGGTAGTTAACTTACAAAATGTAAATGTTGTTTTATTTTTCTTTTGGAGTAAAATCACACTTCCGAACTTTCTCTCCGAAGAGTGTGAATCAATTATTGCAGAGAAAACTTGGATGAGATAAAGGTTCATAAATGTGATCTACGTAATTAATGTGCATGAGATCCCTCTAATCTTGGGTTTCATAACTACCGAATTTTCTTTTAAATAATTTATCAGATGATCGATCTTTGATAGATCGAGGCACCAAATAAACGTATCTACCAACCAACAAACCCTTACATATACACAGTGATCATGTGGGTCCGTATAATGGGGCTTTGAAATTCCAACTGAACACACTGCTGCTAAAACTCAGAGGATTCTAGAGATCCTACAATAATCCCTCAAGATCAATTTAATGTATGTGACATTGATTGATTGGGTCGTCAGTAGTTTTGCTGAATTAAGGAGTCGATGTCCTCAGAAATGACTCAGTCACCTTCATTAGGACGATGAAAATGTTCATTTTTCCGGCTAAATCACCGGTAAAAATGGCGGTAGGAGGAAACATTTAATTTTTCAAGAAAAATAATTTATGTCACGCAAAGTACCACGTCCGATTTTAACGAGGCAAACTGGTTGGAAAGGTACCAGTTACTTTGATCAAAATTATTAAACATATAAATCATACGCCTTAAAGAAATTTTCAAAATTTTAAAGCACCTCATATGCAGTTTGAGACAATTTCGTCATGAAATATTACCAAATCTAAGCGTCCTTCCTTCTCCTTTCCTCCATTCAACCCTCCTTTCTTTGTTTCCTTTTTCTTCTTCCTTTTTTTTCGGACGAACAGGGGAACTACGCTTCCTTTGGATCCGCCTATGTAAAGAAATACCCGGCAAATTCAGCAGAAACAGTAGCAGTACTTTGAATCATGACACCACAACTTGATTGTCTTCACTGTTTCTAATGTAGGCTTCTCATATCGTCTCACTGTTTTGAATTACTATTTATGTAAAATGCACTGCTAGTGGCAACAACTACTTGTTTTGTCTCCTCGTCTACTGCCCTCCAGATGGCCGCGCCTCATGTTCCAACATGCATTCGATTTTTGCTTGGTTTGTAAACACACAATACGTGCTTCCATTGATTTTTGTATCGCGTTTCTACACAATAATGGTGAGAAAATTCTTCCGCGTCTTTTGAATCCATAGTCTCATTTTCCACTGCGCAAGCAATTTTGCTATGGGAACTTACTGCCAACAAAATATCATCTGCTCTTGTCATACGCTCCATGTTTTTTGAAACCAAAGAGATTGTATTTAAAGGACCCTACAACAAAACGGCCAAATCGGCCTTAACACGGAATCGTACAATTTTCTCAGGGATGATAGAGGGTCTTCCC